AAAGAGACGCGTTTGAAGTACACAAAGCGAGGGATGATGGTTCCAGCAAATGTTATGAGGACGGATTCAGTGGAGCCCATCATACGTGCAGCGAGTATATCTGAAGTAAAGGATTCGAGGTCATGCAAGAGCTGAGATGTTGTGAAGTGACCACCGACGTTGTGTATGACGCCGAGACATGATATTGGAGGACTGAGGGCATAGGGCTTAATGGTGATCGGCTTACCATTAAGTTCCAGACTTGTGAGGGAGAGTAGGAGGTGGGCAGTGAGAGGTGAGTGCGTTTTCAGAAACACAAGGCTCTGAGCAGGTTTGGCTTGAAGGGTGACCTCCGCACTGGTCTTGGGAGAGAGATTTGCGGCGGCTGTGATGGTAGAAAGCAGGTCATAGAGAGGCAGTTTCGGCGTGAGTGTTCCGGGTGGAAGTTGGATTCCGACGGTGATGAGCTCGGAGCGGGGGCGGGCGGTCGAGGCAGGTTTTCGATTGGCACTAACGGTGTTCCAGCTGCCTTCAGGGGATGGCGTATTGTCTTCGTTGACTTGCGATGCCGCGAAGTCCATTTCCGTCGATAAGTCGTCAGCTGAAGTGATGGAAGGCAAAACTTCGGCGATGGAAGGAACGACGCTCGTCGAAACGCGCTTGTCGACAGACTCGGAATTTCCAATGGGTAGGCCAGACGCAGATAAGGTGGGGAGAGCAGCAGGCGTGGTTGATTGCAATGCCAATGCTGCATTGCGGCTCTCGGGCTCCGGCGTTTGCGTGGCTATCAAGCTGAGAGTAGCAGAGACGCCACCAGCGTTGCACGTTGCTGGACCGTGCGCGCTGTTGAGGAACGCTGCCTGTTGCTGTATTGTTGTCGGCGCGGGGCTGGTGATATTGCCAGATGGTGACAGCGGAGGCACGGCTGTATCAGGCGTACGACCGGAGGAGGCTGGGCTTACCGACAGGGCGTAAGTTGTCGTTGGTGTCGAGTGCTGGGCGGGACTCTGCATCGTGGAGGTGCAGGCGCGGCGCGTTAGGGTTAGCGCGGCGCCGCGCCGCTTCGTACTTTTGAAGGGGCCTGGGGGGCCAGCCTGGGGTCGGACCGGGGCCCGGATGTTGTCGGCGTGTCCCGGAAGTCTTCCAGAAGGAATAGTGAGCTTGTCCAGACACGGGCGGGGCCCGGTAACGGGCCAAGAACACGTGAAAGTGGAGCACTGTATGCGGCCAGCCAAACAAAACGGCGCCACCTGGCGGTCTATCGCCACGTTAAACATTCGGTTCAGTATAGCCACGATGGCGCGCAACTCGCTATCCGCCTATTCATCGGGCAGGCTAGGCACCAAATATCTATATAAGCACCAAAATGCACGGTCGATCAGCTGACACAACCACCCTTCGCAATGCGGGAAAAAAAGTGAGGTAGCGAACGTTTGGCAGTTCCTATCGTGTAGGAGGGCACTTCCGTTCAATATATATTTATTTGTCATCAAGAGTTTATTCGATGAAAGCCGCATGGGGCGTACGTCCGGGCGTCCTATCTGTTCCTATGTGAGTTCTCCAGTTGACCCTCTTGATTCTTGCAGCAATCTTGGATTGCACGGCGCGCCACCTATATAGCGCGTAAGCTTTGCGAATACCGAGAAAATGGAGTAAGCTAAGCTCGGTGATTTACAAGTGATTTAAGTACACAATTCTTTTTTTCCCATTCATTTTCCTTCTTTCCCTTGCTTTCCTTACTACTTTCTTTCTTTCTTTTAATGTTTTTTGTTGCGCAATACTTTCACTTTTTACTTTCTTCATGCCATCTCTTTACTTGAGTTTACAGGCGCAACAGTTCTATTAGTACAACAAAAGTGAACATCCTGCGTTCCTATCAAGGATCCTTGATTCATATATAGGCGTCATCAACAGAATGTGCATTCGCACTGTCGTGTGAATGCGGGCTGTGAAGGAATCCGATTCACGTTACATGTCACGCGCCTGATCCGTCAGCGACCACGGCCATCATGTCAATGTGTGTTTAGAAAAAGTGGCTAACAATTTAGAGCACTAGGTACTCTACTATGACGGAGCATATAACTGTCCCTTGGGCTTCGCATTTGATGAGGCCACGTTAACACGATTTGCGCTGCATTGTGTGTTTAGAGAGTACTAGGTACTGTACTGTGGGAGAGCATAAAGCCATCCCGTAGGTCTTATGCGCTGCCTCCTGAACATTGAAGGGAGGGGGGGGGTTAGAAAAAGTGGGTAACGATTTAGAGTACAGGGTATTCTACTATGGGAGAGCTTAAAGTCCCGTGAGCCTCATGCCTTTCTGTTATAGCGGCATGTATGGGGGTTAGAAAAAGTGGGTAACGATTAAGAGTACTTGGTACTCTACTATGGGAGGGCTTAGAGCCGTCCCGTGGGCCTCATGCCTTTCTGTTATGGCGGCATGTATGGGGGTGAGAAAAAGTGGGTAACGATTTAGAGTACTTGGTCCTTTACTATGGGAAACCCTAGAGCCGTCCCGTGGGCCTTAATGCCACACTAGGAAGTAGGAACAGAAGAGGGGAGGACATCCTACCGCATTTATGATACGGATATTGGCGGTAACGCCGCTGTACGGGAAGAAGCTGGCGTTGGCATGTGTATATGAATGCGGCCCTCGGAGACACGCCGGTTCCACGCGTTTTTGTGTGCGCCGTTTACTCATAGTTGACGTCTCAAGAATCGTGCACTGGTAAGCAAACGGCCATATCCGGTATGGCAATATAAACTGTTATCAAAGTCGCCTTTTTATTGCTTTCTTTATTGATTTTTGGGAGCGAAGCTACTTGAGGCGTGGGCTGCGCAACCCGTCGTAATCGTATGCAGCCACCTAGTGAGCGCGCGCGCGCTCACTAGGTTGGCGGATAAACAAGGCTGCAGAGTGGTGCGTGCGCAAGGCGGCGGCGGCTCGCGCTCGAAGACGGAATCCCGATGTGCGAGCGCGCGAGGCAGAAGCGTGCCGCGAAGCTGTGCGGCGGCGCTCACAGGATCCCAGCGTTCGACAACGGGAGGCCGAAAGGGCGCGGCAGTGGCCTACGTGTGGACCCAGCTTCGCTCCGCTCCTCATCATTCACCCCGTGGATAGGCTGTCATTTTTACGGGCGAAGCTCCTTAACCGCTCGTCCCTCGTCGTAGTCGTGGGGCATAACTAGTCTTACGCTTTGACCTGCAAGGTGGTGCCGGTGGGAGATTTCTCCTGTGCGTTGTTGAACAATAAGAAATTCGCAGCGTGCGCGTTAACTGAAAGCCGAATTCTCCCGTCTCTCATTCCCAATTAGCAGCCATTGACATGTACATTGAGCACTATATAATCGTGATTTCGTCGGCGGTACGAATGCAGCTAACCAGCTTTGTCAATACCCATCAACTGGCCTGGTAGTATTCATCCATTGAAGTTGTCTTGCTTGTTGAGGTAACCCCTGCATCGAAAGCAAGCACGACAGAGTGGAACGTTTTACTGAAGCACGTAGTGTTCTTCGCGTCGCTGACAGCGGAAGAGCCCAGAGTGGTTAGAGAGCTGTTGGTTTGGCTTTTTAACGCACTTGCCAACCATATCTGCGCGTAGGTATAGCACGATCAGCGCGGTCACGTTGCTTCTGAGTCAGCAACCGTGGAACGCATATTCTGTTTCAGCTCCAATGGAGGCAAGAGTTTTTTGCGCTTGCATCGAAGCACATGACGGCTCCTTGCAATCTCGCACTGGACGGCTGAGCCAGTTTACTCTAGATTATTCATTCGTTTCTCGCACTCATGGGCTTTCACGAGGGCCTTTTTTTTCCGATAAAGGGCAATTATCAAATCTATTTAACGCACCGGGAAAAGCTCATCTTGGAACTTTGAAACGGAGACGCTCAGTCAGCAGATGGGTGATCATTTCTCCGCAGCTTCAGTGATTTTATGTGATTCATTGATTGATTGATTGATACGCGGGCTTTAACGCCTCAAAACCACCATATCATTATGAGAGACGTCGTAGTGGAGGACTCCGGAAGTTTAGACCACCTGGGGTTTTTAGCGTGCACCCAAATCTGAGCACACGGGGCTAAGTTACTGTATGTGGAGCTGTGTGCTATTTATTCCTTATGACAAAACTCTGAAAAGAGATAACAAAATATTTTAAGCTTTGATGCCAACGTATTTTATGCACACCTGGTCGTTTTTATCGATATATTTAAGGGCGAAGCTGCTTAAGTGCGCATTCCGCCCTGAAACTTGTGGTTTAACGGTTATGGTCACAAAGCAAACTAAATCATGTTTGACGCAGCGCTAGAGACGGGGTCTAAATATCAAAGTGTACTGGATGGGCACTTTGTTGTAGCAGACATGCTCAAATATGAAAGTGTGAGGCAAATCATTTTGCAACAACACGTGCGCATACTTGAGGGAAATTGAAACTTGTCACCCGATATTGCATGCACGCGTTGTTGTGAAATCGTTCGTCTTACTGTATCACCTTTGTGCATGGCTGCCATGCGCTACCTTGTTTTCCCGTTACGGTTTTCGAAATAAGTACTTCAATCGCGAGACAGCGCCCATCCTGTGCGTTGTGTGGTGCTTTGTCTTGGTCTCTAACGCTTATTCAATCATGCGAACATTCCAAGTAGCCCAACTTTCCATTCTGCACTGAACCGCAAGCTAAGCGAAAAATAATTTTCAATAAGATGCGACTAACAATGTAAGGGGTGTTGCGTACGCATTACGTAACCCGCTTGTTCCTGAACGGCGTGCTATATTTATACGGGCTGGACAGGTGAACCCTCCCCGCCCCCCGCAATACGCACGCGATTGCTAGGCAGTGTTGCTGGAGCAGCGGTTTCTCTGCTCTATTACAACGAGCACGTCTCTCTCTTCCGCGCTGGAAAGCATACACAGAGAGAGAGAGAGAAAAGAGAGAGAGAGAGAAAAGAGAGAGAGAGAAGAGAGAAGGAGCAAGAGAGACTGGAGAGTAAGAGGTGGGTAACGCGATAAGTCTCCTGCAAGCGAAAGAGTGGGCGTTGATCGGCCACCGCCAGCACAAGCGCCGACGAGCTCATCCGGTGCACTAGTCAGCGTCATGGTGTCGCCGGCATCGCATTCCGTGTGTCGGCGGTCTCACTCGTCCTGCTCGTGCTTGGAAATGAATGCGCCGGCGTCAGTGCCAAGGTGAGTGCCGTGTGTCGTATTCACTGAAGCCGGTTGTAACTTCAGACTGCGTACAAGCTCCGCCCACAAAATCGCGCCGCGCTTGTCAGTGACCCACGTCGGGGAGCCAGGAAAATTCGTATCTTTTTAAACCGTAAGCTATCGTTATGTGCTACTGTATGTGACAGGCGTATAGAAAGTAGAAGGTTGTCATTCCTACCTAAAGTATGAGCTTTGAGAGAGCAATAACGTCAGAATCGGTAACGAAATTGGCCAGGAAATTCAAGTTTTAGACATAAAACCAGCCAATTGAACATGTGTGCATGTGGGCGGGTACCTCAACTGTATTGAACAAGCAGAAAGTTGATGACATCACACGATTGAGTATTCGTGATTGGATGGATTGTGTCACGTCAGTGCGTAACGCTCGTAATGGACGCTTTTCATAATTGGCAAGTGCGCTTCTTTGCTCTGCACATTTACCTAAGTATCGGCGGCACTTGTCGTGCTTCAAGCAGAGATGCAGGCTCAGTTGAATGTGCGAGGGCTTGTCTATTTAATATTAGTTTTTATATCAAAAGAGCCAACTCTACATTTTTCAGGCTGTTCAAGCAAACCGCGCTTGAACAGCCAGTTTGCAGTGATAATAGTAGCCATTAGTTGTTCTCATTGCGTAGCAAGAAAGTTAACTTCACAATTTCGAAAAAGGCATTTTGTCGATAGGGTGTAACTGGATAGAGGATACTTCAGCGGAAGTGACCGGCCATTGGCAAAGCATGTTCACACAAAAGCAAATAAATTTTTTGTGATATCAACCGTCGTGGTGATAAGGTCTAAGAACATTTACGACACGAAAGTGACAATAGGAGGGGAGGATCAAAATGTGGGCCAGTTGGTAATTCATTTTCTTCGTTCAGCGAACTGGGAGCGCAGAGAAAAACACAAAGGACGAAGCGAGGAACCACACAACACGAGCGCTCAAACGCTCGTGTTGTGTGGTTCCTCGCTTCGTCCTTTGTGTTTTTCTCTGCGCTCCCATTTCGCTGAACGAAGAAAATAGGAGGGGAGTAGACTATCTGCTTTTTACACCATTATTTGTTTGTTGATTAACAAGCCCATTCATTAGGATCAAGTTTCTTCCGATAGTCGCAACATACCGGAAAAGATTTAACCGGCTCGTCGTTTGATTTCGTCCAGAAGATTTTGCCAGTTGATCACGTTGGTGACTGCCAGGTCGATAGCATACCGGCTGCAAGAGCACTGAATTTATTGGGTGCTAGCACGTGTGGATACAAGTGCCACAGGCAACAGCTCTTAGATCTGACAGTCAAATATTTGCAATCTGCAGCGACAACGCTTAAAATTTGGATTACTTCTAAACATCTTATGTGGAAAGGCGAAGCATCGTAAACCGTTTATAATTGATACCGACTTAAGTGTAACGCTCACCCCCACCCCTCAGAGAGGATATGATTGATGTCTTCAACGACGTTACATTGTGCACAAAAGCGACGGGCCACAGGCTTGAAGGAAATGTTGTAAGTTGTGCAGTGCGTGTGAGAGACTGCGTTATGTGACTGTTATGCGTGTATGTAACTGTATGTGGTGTGTGTATCATTGCATATATCGTTGTCATCACCCGGCAACTGGAATAGCCTGTCAGGTGAAAAACCCGGCAAACCTCTCCAGCTTCCCATTAAAACAATTTTCTCTCTCCCACCCCTACAGATGTAAAAAAAAGAAGCAATAATAGCCTGACGACAAGTGCAAGACCTCCTGCTTTGTTGTCAGCCTCTTGCAGCTGTCAGGACGCAGATTATCTGCAGAAGTGCTACAGAAATCCCGATAAGGGCTGGAACTCGAGAAAGGGGAGGGGCGCCCGAGTGGTTCCGGTATCGGCACTTTGACGCAATAGCAAGAGCTTAGCGAAACAGGGCTGGAAAATATTCGGGCACAGAAAAAAAAAAGGGACAGTATATGAACGCTATTTCTTAGCCTATTTTATTTTACGAAAAGGTAGTTTTTCTTAGCGCAGTCACAAGCGCTGATCAAGCCGTTAAAGAAATATAACGCATCCATGGCGCCACTCAACCATAAGTCACGGCAGACAACCTTTTACGAATTCTAATCTCTTTCTTATTACGATAGCATGACAGAGTTAGTTCTCACACAAATATGATTGTATCTTCTCGTACAAATCACCGTGTTTTATTCCAAGCCTGTTTTCTATATCCTTCACTAATAAATTTACCTGTCACTTCTATGCGTACTACATTAATGGATATTGCTCCTTCTTAGCCAGTAGTCGACCTAAGTAGTGAAAAGAGTTTTGATACACAAGTGTGGAATAACGTATCACGAGCTAATTGGTTGTTAATTAAGCATGAGGTAACAGTGCATAATTTAAGATGGTGTACGGAAGGAACAGGATGCACATTATTTCACAAACAGCTGGGTTTAATGCGTACGCCACGATGAATAAATTAATATATATATATATATATATATATATATATATATATATATATATATATATATATATATATATATATATATACACATACGTGTGGTAAATTATGAACGTGAAAGAGCTGCGACATTGCCATTTTCTTTGGCCGTATGGACAAAGAACTGTGCTGGTGTCATACGTTGCACTGCCGATGCCAACTAATACCAATCGAAAAAAAAATTCATTAACTGTACTTGATTCAATTGTGCACCTTGCGTATAGAGAAGCCAGCTACAACTAGGAAATGGGATCCAGATTACACGTGATCAAATCACGATCAAAACATCTCGTCTGACACCGACATCCGTTTTCCTACCGGGGTCGCATGATCGTGACTTCCGCTTGTTCACTGCATAGAATATCTATCTATCATGCCTTGCTCATTTTTTTTTCACAAGCGGTCGTGAAGTTTGGTGGTCCTTAAAAAGTACAAGGGGGCTTTCGTGGCTTTGCGCGTATGGGAAGCCGTCGGCCAAGGTCCCAGGATCTATTTATGCTTCTCTTTCATACTCCTCTTCTTTTCTGTCTCTTTCTGTTCTATTATTCTCCTTTTGCCCCACCCCAAGTGTAGGGTAGCCAACCGAGCCAAGCTTGGTTAACCTCCCTGCATTTCCTCTCTATTTCTCTCTCTTTTGCTCATTTTTAATGATTTTTTGTTGTCGTTGCTGATACCAGTTTTGTATTTACCGCGATTCATCCGCAATGAAACACCAGTTGCTAGTTGGCGCCTAAGCCCACCCTTCGTAAAACGTGTGCTTCATTTGCCTTGTTAACTATAGACTCCCACACCTTCCGTCAACTGAAAACATAACAGCGGCAAGCGTTTGCCAAGGTATAGTTTCCCGCTCTCTCGTTATCACCACGAAAAGGTGCGTAGTTGCGCAGTGCTGGCAAACCGAAAGCGGCCGCCTGTCAATGTGAATAACTGAAGGGCGCAAACTGTACCACTGAAGTTGAAGTTTACTTCAGACGATTAACTTGAGAAAAGGTACAATTTGCCTCGGTGAACGGCGAAAAGACATAAAGCCTTCAAAAAAAAAACACCTGAGTCCTGTCAAGCGTTAATCCCACTAAAACGAAACAATGCTCAGTGTAACAATAACATTGAGTAAGAAAATAAGCCCATGTGACAGTTGCTACAAGCAAGTGACATATGTATAAAAACCCAAATAGATGACAGCATTGGCCCAAGCAACAACATAAATAAGTAATTTGTGTGACTAACAAATAAAATAATGCTTGAATAACGTGACCAAACATGAATGTAATTAACATAAAAATAACCTTTATATACGAAGGGTTTCAATACTTCAAAGCGAAAAATACTTTAGGGAATACAAAACAATTACGTTGATGGCGATTACGCTTGTGTGGAGAGTGTGAATCTCCTTTCAAAAATGCATCATCAGCCAATAATATTGTCTGTAGCAGCAGCTACAATAGGTCTCTCGTTAAGAAATATACAGAATATGATACTAAGTTTCTTGTGCACCGTTATTTGCACGTGGCAAATACTTGCCTCTGCTCGAGTTTTATTTGACACCTACTGCACAAGGCCGTCTCGAAGGGTCAAAGTCCCGCCTTACGGGCCCCAGACACAGACGGCGGCATACCGGTCTCGGCAACAGCGGCGGCGGGACGAGTCGCGTGCGAAACGCCGGTCCGGCTGACTCTGTTTACAGCCATCGCGCGCCCTTGAAGTTTTCCCCGCGATTCAGCTTCCGTATGCAGCTTGGCACAAACCGGGTGAGATTGCCGTGCGCTTGCCGCGCTGAGGGGCAACTCTCCTTTCCTCCTACCGGTTTCTCATCTCCTCGTTAAGCCTCCTCTCTGCCGGGTCTATCATTGCATTTTTTTTTCTTACGCATCGCCGCTCAAGCGCGATCCGTGGAAAAGACTGCGAAGCTGTGCTTACTAGACGGACGTGATCGCGGACGAATCAATCACATGGCATGGGACGTGACTCGGATCGCGTCTCAGTCCACACTTGCGGGACGGGGGAGAATAGACGCTACAAAGGAGGGTTTCGGTATTAACGGCAAAATAACTTGTCGGTAACTTGTGCTCCATAGTGCTAAATAAAGTATTTGGGTGGGTGTGTGTGGCAGAGTACCTGGGTAAAACTCTACGACGGAACGCAGCAGGAGCGGCCGTTAAATGAAAAATATACTCGATGAAGTGGAACGAGGGAAACACGCGAAAGATGGCGATAAATTAAAGATAGAGAAAAAGAAAAAAGAGAAAAGTAACGCGATAGAAGTGAGAAAGAAGTACGGAGTGAAGTAAAGGGAATAACAACAGAAAGGCTGAAGATAACAGACGTAAAGTGAGAGTAATTAGAAAGAAACGGACATGACAGACAACCTGAAAAACAGTAGAGAGCAATACAGAAAAATAAAATACGGAGACAAAGATGAAATGCAAGAGGAGTCTACACACACACACACACAAATATATATATATATATATATATATTTATATATATATATATATATATATAGTCCAGTAGATCCTCCGTGAGTGGTCACAACGTGGTTTATATCGACGTTTCGGCTTAGAGTCTGGCCTTCATCAGGATCCTGATGAAGGCCAGACTCTAGGCCGAAACGTCGAAATAAACTACGTTGTGACCACTCACGGAGGATCTACTGGACTATATGCAACGCTACGGCCACTCAACCACCATGCCTGCCTATATATATATATATATAGAGAGAGAGAGAGAGAGAGAATGACGAAACAAGGTAGGCACCGCTCTTGCTGCAGTCTTGGCACTCCTAGTCATAGGCTACTCTTATTTATTTCTTTTTCCTAGATACTGGGATGTGCGCATTCATCGCAAGACCTGAGAAAGAACAGTGACGCCCAGTATAAGCACTTGTCGAAGTGGAGGCCTTCCCCCCCCCCCCCCTCCGAATTTCTAGTATCTGGTTTTCTTGAACGTGCCCTCATATCTAAATTTCTCAAGCATTTTCTCTCCCTAACGAAATGCAGTCACCGCGACAAGGATTAGATCCTGCGACCTTTCGGTAAGCCGTCGAGTGTGATAATAAATCGACTATCACCCGTGCTGCGTAGAAGTTAGAGAAAGTCACATTGTGGGCGCAAAACAAGGATGAACTGGATGAGCCGTCTCTTGGTGCGAACATGCTTACAACAAGAAGTCTCGCTAGCCTCGACGGCGTTGAATGCTGGGATAGTATGGTAGACGCTTATTGCAAAGCACGTGAAGTGCCACCCTTTAGAGCAGCAACGTGAGGAGCTCCCAATTCGGGAGAGAGAGAAAGGGAGAGGAGAGGCAGGGAGGTTAACGAAGCTCTGGCTTGGTTCGCTACCTTACACTAGCAACGGAAGAACCGGCACATGGCAGGCTCTGCAGGCTGCCCCGTGTTGAAGACGATACTCTGAGCACTTGAGGGCCAAGTCAGTGTTCGTTCTGTGAGGTCCCTGTCCCCACGTAATTAGGGACACCGCCAGAGCATGTGCTCTATTTTGCGTGTTCCACCGGAGAAAGGATACTGTTTTCAACAACTCATTGGTGAGTTTGCGCCCGTGGTGTCTGTCTGTTCTCATTCGTGTTTTTGTTGCGCATGTTTAGGCCATGAATCAGTGGCAACTCGCCCAACTGTCAGTACTCTGGGCACTGTGAGTTGGTCACTTGCAAGTGAGCATTGCATGAAAACCATACTGCGACAGAAAATTCAGCCTGGAGCAACGTAAGAGTCATGGCCGAGGTCCCTTGATTTGAAATTATCAAAAACGCATCTGGTCACTGTCATTTATTAATAATAATAATAATAATAATAATAATAATAATAATAATAATAATAATAATAATAATAATAATAATAATAATAATAATAATAATAATAATAATAATCTTTATTTTTCATCAATAGTTTGATGAAGGACAGCTGCAGGTAAAAGCTGCCCTCCAGAAGAGGCAGCTTGACAAAGGCCCACATTTCAACATCTCTTCACAGTATAGCATGTGGGGACAACAACTGGTTTCCTTGAACTAGTCTGCTGTTTAGAGCACAGCCGCTTTGCTCAGTGACGCTTGTGTTATCTTCGTGATAGAAATAGACTCCGATAACGAGGCTCGAAGTGAGCTGTCTGAGGAGGCTGTTATCGGCATAGTTTATTCAAGAAGCCTTATGGCGTGGGACACTGCTGCGAGCGTGCATGCGAATAGCTACATGCCACAAAGTCCACGCGTTGGGCCCTTTCCAAAGGGCAGTGATAAGACTTCTGGAGGAACCACATAAACAGCCTCGAATAACTACTTGGTCATATTGCACCGGGGTGTTGCTCGCAAACGAAACATTGTCAGGGCATGTTGGCGCAGTGTATTGCGCCATGTGTGTCGGATGAACCCGACACGTACTGTACCGCCGTGTTTCGTTTCACGCGTAATATGAATCGCGCTTAGAGCGGCCAATCAGCCGTTTGAGCTGCCGTATTTTGAGAAAATATGCCAATGCTACAGTGCTCAGCCGATGATTCAAAGGTCATGGGTTCGATTCCGGTTACGGCGGTCGCAGTTTAGTGCAGGCAAAATGGTTGCGGCCTGTGGAATCGGTGATGTCAGTACAGGTTAAAAAACAACAAATGGCAAAACATTTACAGAGCCCTCCACTACAGGATTAGCCACAATGATATGGTGGTTTTGGGACGTTGACCCCCATACATTTTTATGCGTTGAGTTGCAACCGTCGCGATCGCTATCGAACCTACGACCCTCGGAACCACAGCCAAGTGAACATTGTATCATGGAGGCGCGCTACGTCCAACCTATCACTTAAAAAACTAATTATCTCCCCAATAGTTTATACAATTGCTGATTTGCTGCATTTAGCATGTTTACGTTAAAAGGCACACACATCATAAAAGCGCCCACAACCCATATTGATGGGTAGAGGCTGATACTAAAGAATAATGCTACTTGCTTAATTTTCACGACAATATTATGCAAGGCGGGGTGGGGTTTTTGTTATTCTCCTCTATCGTTTCAGCGCCAAACAAGAAAAGAGAGGGGTCAAGCTGACAAGCCGACTGAAGCCATCGGCGAACGCCACCTTCGTAAGTGGAAGCTAGTCTGTGCCGAAACATATCGGCATGCGTGGCGCTGCTTGCAACATTTTCATTGGCTGTGGGAAAGGACAGTGCCGGTTTTTTTCTCAACTCAACATTTTGGCATATCAATGGTCAGCATTGTTTGAAATAAGAGAGCACTAATAGATGTGGACAGGATAAACAGAGACAAGCGCTTCTACGTCCGCGTCTACGTAATGCACTCTAATTTCAAACAATGAATAACTAACTCACCCAATCAACCATTTTGACAAATCAATAGTTAGTTCGATGGAACGTGTATCTTAGGGCTTCTGGGTTTGAAAAAGTCGTCAAACGTGATACATATCTAATCTTCATTTACTTAACCGAGATTGACTATTTACAAACCAAATGTGAAGTAGGGCTTCCAGATAATTCATAGTTAGTTGCAACCTAGCAATAAATGTGGGCTCCTCCCACATCCGTCACTTTTTCACTCAGACAAATTTCCAATTGTACTAGCCTATTTTCGAAATGTACAGTATATGTCTCTGACACCTCCTCAACGTAGCCAATTTTCACAATCTTTGTGTCTGGTTTTTGAACAAAATAAAACTTTCTGGCGAAAATCCAAATAAATGTTTATATTAAATATCGTGGAAACAATTTTTTTTGATAAACAATTTTTTAATAAATATTCTGCGTGGTATTTACATTAGTAGTCAAATAGTACTTAAAGTTACAATGAAGACCACTAGTACGACATTATTACACACATATATGGGCCGCTCGCAGCATTTTTTGGAGGAGAAGGTCGTACTGATTTTCCGGTTGTAGCTGATTATAGTTTTAGCAATGCCATTTTTGGGCATGTTGCTAAACGGAACTACACGACATAAGAGAGTTTGAGAGTTGGGGCTCCAAGGAGCTTTGGGACACAAGAACTTTGCGGCCCGCCAGGGCGCATGCGCAGAACCTAAGCTGATCTTGGGTTCTTGCGTTTGTGTTGACACAAGGCCCGAAAATTGAAAACTAGCGTGGGCCCCCAAGGCGTCTTGGGTCGCCAGCGAAATTAAGAAGGGGCAGTGCGAGCCGCTGTGCCGTATGGCCTGCGTCTCGCATAATATTTAATTTCGCCACTTGTGGCGCTATGTGCGTTTGACCCAACTCTTCAACTCTGGTAATCACCGGAAGGCCAGGGCAACCTACGCAGCGCTGCTTGTTGGGGTCTTGTGCCCCCGAATCTCAAACTCTCTCTTGAGCGTTGACCATGTGCGACGTGGGAGGGAGCCTCGCCGCGCTGGTCTAGTGGCTAAGGTACTCGGTTGCTGACCCGCAGGTAGGTCGCGGGATCGAATCCCGGCTGCGGCGGCTGCATTTCCGATGGAGGTGGAAATGTTGTAGGCCCGTGTGATCAGATTTCGGTGCACGTTAAAGAACCCCAGGTGGACAAAATTTCCGGAGCCCTCCACTACGGCGTCTCCCATGATCATGTGGTGGCTTTGGGACGTTAAGCCCCACACATCAATAAAAAACGTGAGAGGGACAGCGCATTTTGCTGTCGTCTCTCTCTCACGTCCCTGTCTGGTAGCGCTCAATATGTCGTGGAGTGTAGTTTATTTAGGAGCACGTAAACAAAATCACACTCGCTGCATGGGTGGTATAGGATAACAACGAACTAGAATTATTACAAAGTAACGATAACAGCTAACCTCATTAGGATCTGGCATAGGTCAGGGAACTGACCCATCAGTCGACTCGTTAGGACTGACGCAGACTTAGATCTAGCTGTGAGTCTGAGTTTGCATGTCCGGTCAAGTAATTGATATGTAGGGTTTAACGTCCCAAAACCACCATATGTTTATGAGAGACGCCGTAGTGGAGGGCCCAGGCAATTTCGACCACCTGGGGTTCTTTGACGTGCACCCAAACCTGATCAGAGGGGCCTACAGCACTTTCGCCTCCATCGAAAACGCAGTCACCGGAACCAGGATTCGATCCCGCGATCTGCGGGTCAGCAGCCGAGTACCTTAGCCACCAGAACACCACGGCGGGGCTCCGTTTGAGTAATATTTTGGTGAGTCTGCGTACAAGTGAATCGGGTTGAGAAAAATTTCAGCGAGTCTTTGTCCGAGTGGGTCCGGTTGAGGAAAACATCTGTGAGCGTGAGTCTGTGTAGGCTCTGAGGGTGAGGTATGCTTTATTAGTGAGTCTGTGTGTGACCTAAATGTTTGCTGACTTATGGGATCTGATCCAATAACTAGTGACGTAAGAGAATATACTCTAGTGAGAGAAGCAGTTCTTGTGCTGTTTTTAGGATGCAATACGAAATAAGCGGCGACACTACAACACGGCCGTATAGGTGTGAGCTGTCTGGTGGTCTTTCTGGCGACCGCGCCCGTTTCATCAATATCCGCCACTTGTGACCGAGTTACACAGCTTGAATGATTTGCGTACTGTTTAAAAAGACACTAATAAAAAAAAACGATATTGCTTTCTCTAGCAAATGTCTTTCCCAATTGCGAACCACAACGCTTGGTAAGCAAGAAGACACAAGAAAATGCGGCTGGATACACCATATTAAAGTTCTCCCACCAGTTGGCGTGACGTCATGTATATTCAGCGCGTCTGCTGGGACATACGTAATTCGTACTCGGTGTAGATTAAGTGCAAATGAAGTCAGAGGCTTAATATTTCAAGTTTCAAAAACTTTTGTGGAGCCAATATTGCCAAACTCTATAAAACACTTTGAAATATCTGGCGTCAGCATGAAATACTTTGGCTGGTCATCTAAAAGTGAAACTTCTTCCATAACCTTTCTCTTCTAATACTGAATGTAGCATAGGATCAATATTGACGCCAGAGTTTTCACTGTGCAATTTATAAGTCCAAACGAAGTGACAGCTTCCATTTTTCGCCCATTTAACGGTTGGATTTGGATATTTTGCTTTTTTTTCAGCTGCACCCACGAATTTGAAGGTCGAAGTGTCTTGTGACAACATTTACAACGCAACTTGGGATTATGACTTCGAAGCGAACTTCGACGGTTTTATGGGGACCCTCTGCCACAAGGATGAGTGCGCCACGACCCACATCGACTACAAGGATAGAGAGTTCACGCGGCGGCTGCCATCGCACAACAGTAGTTATACATTTACCTTGTACGCAATCGACAGCCAGGGCCGGCGGAGCGACTCAGATGTAGCAGAGTTTACATCATTCCCGAAACGTGAGTACTGAACGCAAAGTCCGCAAAAAAAAAAAAAGACGCGTATCTGCATGTATCGCTGCATATGTCGTAGAAAGACGATAGCCTTCTGTCTGGAGATGCTGCGTGAGATATGAGCGCTATTTATTTATTTGTTTATTTATTTGCTTACACATACTGCATCGCTATTGGCGCCATGGCAGAAGTGGGTATATGAAGACACACAAAAATACAATTAAAAACTATGAGCCACAAACAGGTAACATAATAACGTTGTGGGAGCATTAGGGCGAATATGTCAGAACATGGAAAAACATCTGGTAGTAGTGTCTGGAAACAGAATCTTGTACAGAACTCGGGGTCGCCGTATATTTGGCCAAGCATTTTATAATGCATAGCGTCACATTTTCAGCGCAGCTTAAGGAATACGGGCGTTTTCAGAATTACGTGTCTATGTATTTTGCAAGTAAAGGAGCGCACCTCATAATATCTACAGCTGATGATGCGCCTCAGGTATGCGAATAGTATTTGCTTGCTGTTGCTATCGCAGTCATTTATTCGCCCTTATGGTCAAGCTGCGACTTTTTATCTTCGTCATACTTGGCTCGGTTCGCTTAAACACCCTGTATGTTGCATGGCAGCACAGCGTTCGTTTAGTCTCGAGTTTGCCACGCCACCACATACATGTGTGAACTAGAACCCTAAGTTGATTTCCCTGAGCTCTTATTTTGGGGGACAATAAACACTTTGCGTTCATTGCCCGCGTTTCTCGTTCGGAGCTCACCGTGCTAATGTGCACCTCTCTTTTCAGTCCCACACGTTCAAGGGCTTACCGTGAATTCGACAAGTCCCACAGAGCTCCAGGTGTTTTGGTTGAGTGAGTGGGGACAAAACATGAGGCTCAGCGCCTGCTCAAAAACGGCGCCATGCGTTAACACCACGGTGCCGGCCCGGAACCAGACGCACTTGTTGAAGGGTCTCGAACCCGGCACCACGTACGAAGTGTCCGCTCAGACGGTGGTCACTGTGAACAATCGGACCTGCGAAGGTGAACCTGCGAAGAAAAGTGGCACGACACTGCAACTGGGTGAGAATTGTTTCCGTTGTTCATTATATAGCCCATCTGCATATATCCACTTACAACCTAAGAAAAAGTTTATACTCAGCCCATACAACTCGTCGCCAGGGTCAAGAGGGCAGTCGAAGCCGAAGGGTTCCTGGACTAAAGAGTCCTCCCACCTTAGGATGACACCGGACCTCACTTTGAACACTGTTTCTTAATGAACGTTTATTTATCTCTCTCTCAGACCATTCAACAGAGCAGCGTGTGTTTTTCACCTGTGTAAAGCTTTCATACTAGATCGTTTCTATTCAAACCAGCTGAGATTTTTTTCGGCTAACGTAAATAGTACGCATATTATTGGTATTGCATCCTATTTTACGCATATTATTGCAGTTGTTATCTAAAACAATATGGCTGACTAAGCAGCGATGTAAGAATCTCTGAGAAATCTGTGGACTTTAATGTTTCCGACCTGGAAGCAGACAAAAATGCGTACCTGTATGAAAATATCATTCACCTGAAAAACACGAGAAATGCTTGATGCGACTAAATTGAGAGAACCCCACTGAATAGACCATCCTTGCAATTTATCTGTGGGAGGAGCAGTGGTGGCTGTAGGCCGAACTGTCAGTTTTCATGTGTTGTAACTTTGTAATCGAGTGTAGTTGTTCTGGAGTACTCCAGAACACGCTGGTGGAGTGCACCGCGTTCTCGTAAGGGATCTGGGGCTCTCATTGCACAATCGTTTGTGATTTAGGTGTATTCAGCAGAATGTGCTGGTGCTCTAGAGAGTTGCTGCCGGAATCGTTATGTTCTCTTGCTTGCAAATAAGTGCTGGAAACATGGTCGCCGGAGGAAAAGCTTAGTACAAGAAAGAACTGGCCGCAACCGTCGCCTTGTGCTAATGTTAGTCACTGGGCAGTGTACATTCGGGTGGTGGCTTCGTAGCACTACAGATCACTTTGGCCAGGCTTGTTACGTCACGCCGATCAACATTCGAAGCTCGGAACTCACTTGGCCGATGATTTCAGAGCTCTGTGATCAGATCAGAACACTCCAAAGTAATCTGGCATTCAGTCAAGCAGCTGAAGCCCGGTGAAGTTCCCGGCAACTCTCCCTACTTCAGCGCATCGCTTGTGACGAAAGCGTTGACATCAATTTACTCCTTTTCTCAGCCGCTCATTGCTTTCACGAGCAGGTATGACCTTTGCATGGCGTATTAAGAAAGACGTTTCACGTATAAAATTCTTCGTTAGAGCATCAGGAACCTCAGAATGGGTTGCAAGAGACAGGAGGCACCGCTGTGTATTGTGGGTAGTTAGGTAAGCTATAAGAATGAGGAAGATTTCGCACCTTTGCGTTATTTTAAGTGAGTTTTTCGGCTTGTTGTCTGCCCACAGATCTCATGTGACATGGTCCTGGTGATAATTATTCGCTAAATACAACCACCCAGAACACTTGGTTAACACCGGCACTTCTTGCCTGTTTACGAAAAAAAAACAATCTATACAGAAAATCTAGAAAAAAACCTATAATATGGCTTTAAGGAACGTTGCAAAAAATATAGCAATACACTGAACCTTATAATAAAGAAAGCGAAATGAAATCACTATGGAAATTCAATAATGCAAGTCTGTAAGAATACGGGAGAACAATGGTATATACTTGACTCCTTTCTGAATAAAGATAAAGCTGCAGCTTGTATCACGGAAATATATCACGACGGAAAAACCTTTCACACTTACGATACCATTGCTAATGCTTTCAACCAGTATTTTTCCAGTATCAGCGCGGAATCCGGGCAATCATGTCCTAACGACGACCAGCGTCCATTGCAATCTCTTTATTTTTTTTCAATCTGCTAAGCTGAAGTTTGTAGCACTATCTTAAGTTTAAAAAAAAACTAGCGCTGGACTTAACATATCTACCAGATTCATGAAGGACATTGTTGATGTCATCGCCTTTATTTTTGCCCATATCGTTTACTTAATCTTTAAGCAGTCTATCTTTCCTTCCAAACTAAAAAAAGCGAGATAGTGCCTGTTCACAAGAAAGGTGATAAGTCACTCATAAACACTGATAGGGTCATCGCTATTATTCCATTTTTTCAGTGAGGTTTTTGAGAAATTATTTGCCGTCCCCTTGCAAAATACCTTGACAAATTTCAACTCTTGTCGCCCCATCAATTTGGGTTTCGTCAAGGGCTTTCCACCGATCTATTGCACTAGTTGATCTTACTGAAAATTTCAGAAACGCCATTGATGACGGAAAATTCCTTGGATCAGTCTTCAATGACTTTAGTCAAGCCTTTGATTCTATCGGTCATGTTATTCTTTTGAAGAAGCCCTCTTCCTATGGTATAATTGGTCGGCCACAAGATTTCATTTCTAGTTGTTTACTGAATCGTACACAAGTTGTATCCATTTCAGGCGCGCTGTCGGGCACCAAAACTACCAATATAAGGGTTCCACAAGGATCAACATTAGGTCTTCTTCTATTTCTCATTTACATAAATGACCTGAATGACCGTTTATCACCTAACACACAATCCTTGCTTTACGCAGACAACACCACCATTTTATAGCTCACAGACTCCATTCCTGTCCTAACCTCCCAGCTGAACAGCGATCATCAGAGCGTAATTAACTGGTGCCTTAACAACAATCTTGCTTTTATTTCTTATGAGGCAAAGTTTGTTATTTTCCGTTCTCGGTCGAAAAAGCAAGATAACGCACTCCCGGTGTATGTTAACAACTGTAAAATATTTTTACCTGACAAATGCACAGTTTTCAGTGTAAAACTTGATTGTTTTTGGAACTTAAGTCATCATAATGATTTAATAAGAAGAAAATTGATTGATATGTGAGGTTTAACGTTCCAAAACCACCATATGATTATGAGAGACGCATATTATGAGAACAACTCATGGTATTCGTGTTGAGCTGAAAGCCTGCCAAATTTTTTTACGCTCCTTACACTATCTGCTCTCTATTTTGCCTTCCTTCGTAGTCATTTCAACTACTGTATTGAATCTTGGGAACTCGCATATAAAACTTACGTTAGCCCATTAGCGCATATTCAAGAACAGGCTTTTCGCATAATAACATACAGTGCTTTTTATGCTCATTCAGCTCCACTATTTTCTTCCCTAAATATTCTTTTTATTGCAAATATGACCTAGCTGTGATTGCCTACGGCCTGGTACATAATCCAAATCTTTTTTGTATTGTAGGCAATAAAATACAACTTTTTCTAATAATACCCGTTTCTCTTTCCGAAGAAATCCCAGACAACACAGAGCCATCCTTTGGATTCCCCTAGAATGCGCTTCTTAGGATGTGTGGGAATTTCCAAGGATGTCCCAGATATTTCCCGGAAACCTCCATGAAGGCTCCCAAATGAGACAAAAAGCGAGATCCTAAAGACATCCTGTCCTTAAGACATCTTGGAATCATAATGGGATTATATTTGGATGTTGCACATTCCACTGTATCCAGAAATTACCAGTACATGCAGCATTTGAAGGACGCATGCTAGTTAGCAGAAAGAACTGTCTTTTTGAAAGGCTAGCATTTCTTTACATGTTTTAAATACCCCTCAATGTACTCTTACAGCGATGCAATGCACTCCTGTTTTTCCACGTGACTGTAGGCCTATAACATGTTCAGTGGTTCTGTTGCCTTTGTTTTTGCTTGTTACTTTCCAAATGTTGAAATTACTGCTCCATTATGTGTTCTGACCTGCTTATTTAATATGTGTATATTTATGAAGGGTTCCACAAGTTCTATATATATGTACAGGCACATTAAAAATGATCGCTGAAAATGTACAATAATTGATGAAGCAACGTGCATATATGTGTGAGAATATCAGTAAGTAGAATAATTAAAACCACATGGGATGATATATACCATGTCCATTAAACATTCTATAGAAGACATGAATGGGTGGATGCATGCAGATCTCACGCACGCATCCACCCATTCACGTCTTCTTTCGGGATATTTAATAAACATCCGTTTACTGAAGTCTACGAGACATTCATACGTCTTCTTTTATTGGATGTGAGACTTAGGTGTTTGTAAGGGGCATCCTTAGGACTTTTTGTGTTGTCAGGAATATCTTGCTGTCCGAGGCACGCACAAATTACGGACTGAAAACCATGAGCTTCTCCGCCATCAAGGTATGGAACACTCGGCCTTTACAAACTAAAACATCTCTTTCAATAAATGCCTCTCAACATCCAGTTCACGTTTTCCTGAATCGTTCTTTAAACTTCTGACTTATGTGTAGTTATACTGTCATTGCTATTCATTGTCATACATTCTCATGTGTTCTTTCCATTTCTATTATTTTTTTTATTCTGATATATTTGTTAGTGTACACTCCTAGCGAGTGCTGTGTTTGCACTTTATTAGCTGCACTTTTTAATTCACTTGTATGAGTATTTCAATGTCAAATATTCTCTTTGTTATTGCATACCATAATGCCTTTTTTATTTTTTATTCAAAATAACTTACAGGCCCACTGAAGGGTATTGAGTAAATACAAACGAAATAACAATAAAGGAGAAAAGCAGACGACAAAATATATACATATATAAAAGATGACAAATATCAAGGTGCAACAGCGTTATGCAATACTAGAGTGCAACGAAATCAGGTTGTCACGAAAAATTTCACGGTTACAAATGAATACAACATGATCCGGAAGATCGTTCCAATATGCAATGGCTCGCGGTAGGGATAAGTTAAATGCCTGCGTGTGACCATGAATGCGCATAAAACTATGGGCATTGTGAATGCGCTGGGAAGTGCGCGCAGGAGAATAAGGTGGCAAACAGTGAATTTTGTTACTATAAATGTACCTAAGAAACAGACATAAAAGAGCAATGTTGCGGCGTATTTCTAGTGACTGAAATGCAAGGTCTTGTTTTATTAGGGTAATACTTAAATGATAGTAGTAGTTTCCGGAGATGAATGTCGCTGCCCTATTCTGGACGGCTTCCAACATACGTACCAAGTAATCTTGATATGGTGACCATGTGGATGATGCATACTCTAGCTGCGGGCGAACACATTTTGTACATATATTCATGCTTTTTGCGTGATTCTGCTCCTGTTTTTATTTTCTTTGTGAATTTCATAACGAAGTTCCATTGCAGTGTTCTCACTAAGGAAACTCTGTATACCTCTTCCTATATATAAACCCCTACCCTATTACGCAGAGTAAAATGAAACTGAAATGATACTAGGCTAGTCATGCTCAAAACCGGGTGAAATAAACGAACGAGGTGTAAAATAATACCATTATTGCAAACAAACACGGTGTAATTGGAATAACCAGCTTACGATCACTAAAAATGCTTCGACAACTTGTGGATTCCGTGAGCCTCGCGCTAAACTTATTCTTAGGTTGCAAGTGACTATCAAGATGTGTTCGATACTATACTTCCAGCTTGATTATCTCGACACTCAGTCATAGTCCAGTGTTGTCTTTCGCGGTCACACAACGCGAAAGACAAGACTGGACTATGACTTTGCGTGCGCGCGTGTGCTGCCGAATGTGATGTGTTTATCTCTCTTCCCTCTCTGCTCTCTGTCTTTCATCTCCCCCGTCCCCCTCCCATGCGCAGGGTAGCAAACTGGCTGCCTATAGGCTGGTTAACCTCCCTGCCGTTCCTTTCCTCCTATTTTCCTTCCTTCGTCAAGAAATTGACGTCTCCACTGCGTGTCGCCGAAGCAATGCGCAATCTTTCTCTGCAGAGCCTCCGAAGAACCTGACGGTCGACGTTTCGTGCGGCAACGATGCGCACATAAAGTGGACGTATGACGACGCGGAATCCATCAGCGGCTTTCTCGTCACGCTTTGCCAGGGAAGAGAGGCCCAGTGCGAGAACAAGACGCTTCGCAACGACCAGACGGAATGCTCGTTCCGGCTGCCAGACTACAACGCAACGTATAACGTTAGTGTCCGCTCCTACAGGCAAACTCATTTCACGAAGAAGACGTACAGTAAACCAGTCCACGAGACCGTCGTCTCACTCCCGGAACGTGAGTATAGCCCCACTTCTCCAAGGTGGCGCCACATGTTCGTTTAATCCGGACGCGTGTCAGCGAGTGCTTAAGACGACTTTGAACCACCCACAGGTCGAAATTGAGTTTTGATGTTACTGTCTTTCGTGAGTCGACAACGAACACGTAATTCCGAAAAGTTTTTAAAAGTGTGCGATAAGAGCGGAGTTGCACGAGTTTGATAATCCAGACAGGCCCTCAATCGTTTTGGTTTTTCCTTCGTTTAGCTGCGTACCTTGGCGCCATGCGCGTGTAGCTGAGAGTTGACACTATTTTTATTGATGGCGTCACGGCCAACACTCGAGATTACCGAAAGGCCTGGAGAAAGCAAGCGATTGTTCTTTTAGAATATATTGAACTCCCGCGCTTAGCAATAGCAGCAACACTGCGTTTCGTATGGTTCACCGTGATGGCATTTCGAAGTTGTTACGCGCGTTACTAGAAAAAGGTTAAAATGATCGAATGTGTTTTAGGGACACTTTAGTAGGATGAACAAGCGCAGATGGCGCAAGCACGTGAAAAGAGCGCTGGACACGCGTGAACAGTTGCCGCTTTCTGATATCCTTGAAATCGTGCCCGTCTAAACGCGTTTGGAGCCCTGCAAAGGCGCAACTAAGGTGTAGCCGTGCTCAGTTACTCGTACTAGCGACAGGTAGCAGCTATTCCCGTTATTTTTGTTTTATCTTTAGCGAATATTTAGCACCCCTACCCTGATGTGTAGCTCAGCATTAACGAAACGAGATTTTAAAGCATAGGAACCCATGTTTAAACCGAGGCACGCCTCCAAGAAAACTTCTTTTGCTTCGATTATTCGCTTCAGTATTTCTCAATCGTTTTTTTTCAAATACATTGGTCTGTCTCTCCATTTGATAAAGGGTGCCAGGGGTGACTCTTTCATCACAGAGGCCATGCTTTATAGCTATAGACATTTATGGAAAGACGGAGCGAATATTCAATAGGTATACGCTACTCAAACATGTGTGTTTTTTAAAAAGCGGTGAACAACTTAGAGTACTTTGTACTCTACTATGGGAGAGGATAAAGCCGTCCCATAAGCCTCACACTTGATGAGTCTGTGTATTTGAAATATGGCTGACGATTAAGAGCTCCTTAAGTACTCGAATTCAGGAGCTCAGTAACCCATTACTAAATATGATGGCCCAAATTCGCTGTGTAGAGACTCAGATGGTTGAGTGTGTTTAGAAAATGAGGTTTACAATTTAGAGTACTTCGTACTCCACTATGAGAGAGCTGAAAGTGGCCCTGTGGACCTCACACAAATAAGTCTCCCAGGCACCTACAGTCTGTGTTTAGAAAAACTGGTAAGAATTTAGAGTACTGATGTGTTTATATAAAATTGTTTAACGATTTCGAGTACTTCATACTCAACTATGGGAGAGCACTGAGCCGTCCCGCTACAATGATATTGACAAAAATTATGCCGTGAATGTGCCAATCAGCCACATTGAGGGACGTCAGAGCCACCCAATTTCTCCCCCCCCCCTCCCAAGATCTGCAGAAAAGCCTAGGTCATGATAAAAAAATTGGATGAAATAATTGTCTTATCATCACCAATGTCTCGCAACAAGATAATAGGTTCATAAAAGCATCGTTCGCAACCTACTTTTTTTTTAATTTGGTTTCCTCACTATACTTTTGTGTGCAAATGTGGGCAGAAAGATTTTGTTATTTTTTTACGCAGATCAGCAGTCCAAACTCGTCGACTGCGTAAATGGAGGAGGAGAAGAGCTTGAAGAAAGGGAAAAAAGAAACGCAACTTCTGCCGCGTAAATGTGTGAGAGAATCGCAGGACGACCTTTCCTCAGAAATGCAGAAATGTGGCATAATGACGCACAGCCTTCTCTCAACCAAACTGACCTAAATTGTCAAATAAGAAAGTAAGGGGGGCCGGTGAGAATTTAAAGTTTGCAGGTACAACGTGGCAGCAGGAAGCACAAGACCGGGTTGATTGGCGGAATATAGGAGACGTTTCTGCCCTACAGTGAACGTAGTCAGGCTACTGATGAAAACGATGAGTCAAATACGTTTGACTCAATTCAAATGCTGAAAGCCAGGAATATATAAATGGACGTGTACAAGGCGATTGCAACCTACTTTTTCTGACAGGCTATGATAAAAATTCAAACCAGAAGTGTACTGCAAACAGGAAGCGAAGATTAAAAACCAAAAAGGGTAACGGCAAGAAAACTGCAGATTGTAGGTGCACTTAGTGCTAGTGGCTTGTACCTGGAAAGATTTGAAACGACATAACTGATGTTAAGGAAAGAAGTAAAACTTATCGGCTTGTTTTTCTCTGTTAGGCACATTATTATTACAAACTAGCCTACAATAACGCCAAGTAAAATATAGTGGATGCTAATGCCCTATGCTTGTTATAGGGGATGCTACCGGGAATTTTTATAGGGACATGTTAACTCTATTCACTACAATAGTAGACACTGTTGTGCAAATGGGAAGAAAGAAAATTGGATGACAAGATAACTTGCCGCTGGCAGAGACCAAACTTGCGACTTTCGATTGACGCGTCCCATGCTCTACCAACTGAGATCAAGTGGCAATCACCCTCCCGCACATTGTATGGGGTATATATGCACATTTAAACCCAGAATACTTACTCGGCACTGCTAGCAGCCATGACGGCGAGTGCTGAACACTCTTTTGCTGCCTATTGGTGCCACAAATCACGTGATGTTATTACAAGCTAATAAGCACACTCATATTACTTGAAGATGTCAAGTCTGCTGGAACGGGACTGTCGATATAAATGAAACAAGGACACGGCGCTACATCGACGAGAGCAGCTTTCACAGAACAAGCAGCCGCAGTGAATGACTTCTACCTTCGTAATAGCAGAAGAACTGTGAATATTTTTTGCTAAGCAAACGCCTCCTGATATGCTGTCTAGAACCCGAGCCGTGAACGCGAACCCTAGCCTTGAATTTCACCCTTCCACTCCGGTATGTACGTGAGCGCCTCTGACGGTCACCCCTTGTAAACACGTGCAGCTCTTGCGTTCGAGTAGCTCGCCAAGGTTAAGTCACGTGACTAAGCGGTTACGGTGTCCTGTCGCAACACGTGGCAGGAAGCATGGCCTCTGAAATTGTGCACTGACCGGAGACGCCCAGTGGAAAAGAGTGCGATGTTCCACAGAAACAGTTTTTCTAGAACGGTTTTGTAAACATTGCGTTTGGAAAAAGTAGTTAACGATTCAGAATACTCGGTACTCTACTATAGGAGAGCTGAAAGACGTCTCCAGGACTGAGTACACAGCAGGCACATGTTAATCGCTACACCACACGCAAAAAAATGGGTGCTGGAAAATGAAGAAAAGGCGCGGCCCTCAAAAGTTCGCTGGTCACATGCATGTTAGTGTGCGGCATTTCCCAGTAATTGATGCTCTCTAGATCACGCGCATGTCGGGTGTGCTCTGTTTCTTTTACGGCAAACTGATTTTTTATAGAGATTACTTGTCGTTTCATATTGTCACTTTTCAGTGTTGTCTAGATGCGAACTTATAACCACTTTTTGCACGTAGCAACTTAAGTGTTCCACCGCTAAGCATGTGAATGAAAGTCCAACTCCAGTTTTTTAGGGAAGAAACAGCTGACAGGCAGCATTAGCCAATTCGATAAAAAGGAATGTAGCACGATCATGCCAAGTACAAAGACTCACGAGTTTCTTTTGAACATTTTTTTCAGTGCCTGAGTTGGACGACATTGTTGTCACCGGAGTAAGCGAGACGGCCTTGGTGGCCACCTGGACCACCGAGTGGGACGGCGAAATTACGTTCAACATTTGTTCGATGCCGGAGGAATGCCAGAACCACACAATACTCGGAACTCCTCGCAAACACACGTTCGATCAACTGGCCTCGAACACCACCTACAGGGTCCGTGCTCAGTCGCAAATGACACTTCAGAAGAAAAAATGCCGAGGCCACCTGCAAGAACGTTCCGCCTCCACGTTTACAGAACGTAAGTGCGAACCCATTGACACCTGGCTCTAATGTTAAATGTGCAAGTTCGTTTGTTTTCCACACAAACATTTCCGCCTCCATCGGAAATGTTGTAGGCCTGTGTGCTCAAATTTGGGTGGACGTTAAAGAACCCTAGGTGGTCGAAGTTTTTGGAGCCCTCCACTACGGCGTCTCTCATAATCATAACGTGATTCTGGGACGTTAAACCCCACATATCAATCAATCAATCAATCAATCAATCAATCAATCAATCAATCAAAGGAGAAGTGAAATATATGATTTCTTAGCACAGGCTACGCATGAATTATTTCGACGGGAGACTTCGTAATGAAGCAATTTTGTGAGTGTCATCTTGGAAATATACGAGTGAGCCTACTTGCCCCGCCGCGGTGGTCTAGTGGCTAGTGTACTCGGCTGCTGACCCGCAAGTCCCGGGTTCAAATCCCGGCTGCGGCGGCTGCATTTCTGATGGAGGCGGAAATGTTGTAGGCCCGTGTGCTCAGATTTGGGTGCAGGTTAAAGAAACCCAGGTGGTCAAAATTTCCGGAGCCCTCCACTACGGCGTCTCTCATAATCAAATGGTGGTTTGGGACGTTAAACCCCACAAATCAATCAATCAACGAGTGAGCCTACTAGAGTACTGGGATAGTACATTATTTATATTCAGTGCCTTTCTTCACTTTAAAATCAACGGAGTCACTGATAAGATAAATTGTATAGCTGCCATTACATCGGTCTGGAGTACAAGCCCTCACCGGGCAGTCTGATATCGTTCTACGTTATTGCCATGATAATTTTCCTAACCTAGAGCATGATCTGAAATGACGTGAACTTTTTTCGTGGTAGACGTTGCGAATTTCTCGAAGTAACGTATTTATTCGAATGTTACACGAGTAGTTTATTTTTCAAGTTTTTCACTGCATAAAGTGAACCTTTGCGTTGGAATCGAACACCGAAATAACCACTTTGTTCTTCGTGGACGCATTGTGACGTCACGCATCAAGTTACAATTGTGGTCGCATTACAATCAAGTAACTGTGGTACTCCGGCATCCAGAGCATCGGAGAAGTGACCGCTTGTAAAACGAGTTGGCTACACACAAGTTATAATTAGATGAAAGTCAAGCGCAACCATTTGAAATAATGTTCCAAGTGAATCCCGCACATTGACATTCCTATAAATTTTCGCTCATGCTGCACTGGAGATTATTTACTACAAAGTGGTGTTCACAAAGGGAAAAAAACTATGACGCTCGCAACGCAAAACTTAAAAGTAGTATCGTAATATTGGTTTTTCACGTGACAAAACCGCGATACAATAATGAGCCATGCGGTAGTGCAGGGCTTCTTAAATTTCTACCGCCAAGGAATCTTTAAAGTATACCTACATAGAAGCACATGGCATCTTGCATTTCGCGTACGTTGAAATGCGAGCGCCGTGGCAAAGAACAAAACCGTGATTTTCGTGTCAGTAGCCAAGTACCTTGAACACTGTATCACTGTGAAAGCAAAGTGCATGATATGTAATGACAAATTAACGCGTATCAGGTACAGTAACAAAGGAGACTATATAAATGGAAATAAACAAAAAGTATTGGACACCAAATATATATATTGTTGATGACAACAAAGATACAAAACGTCATAAAGTCAAGTAGAAGGCAGCATTAGAGTTCATGGTGGCAGCATCACTGGTTTGGGGATCCTACTCTAAAATTGAGAGTGGGAAAAAGGTTTTTTTTTCTGAATAACTCGATTCTGCACGTGTATTTTCAGCCTTATTACTACAGTCGATTTGTTATAAAACGTAGCGCAGTTGAAATATGCACCTATTCTTGTCTATACAATTTAGGTCCCGGCGAAGTCCGCAATGTCCAGCATTCTGTCGAGAATGGCACCATCCTACAAGCCAGTTGGGAGTTACCCGAGAAAGCCAGCGCGTCCGGTTTCACCGTCAAGTGTGAAGACCCGCAAACGAAGTACACCGAATCTCGAGACGTCTTCGACCAAAAGCCCCCGTATCGTGTCTCTGTGGCTCTTCAAGAGTCGGTTGCCAATTTCAACTGCTCCCTTTTCGCATTCAACATTAACGCTACCGGCGGCCGCCTTGATGGACCGAAGTACGACTTCAGCGTCGCCACTGACGGTATAGGTAAGTGCGAGTAGGACGTTACATAGCCAAACGTAGACCGATGGCCCAGTTGACTCTCAGTATAGCTATGTAACACTGTGGCCAACACGACATGAACACCAACTGGTGATGTTACAGGCTCTGCCCATTCATCCACTGTTCGCCATTATGATGTTACAGGGTAGTATGACTGAATGCAGGGTCTTTTAAAGTGAACAAGCACAAATGACTAAGATTTACAATAACAGTGACACAGAAGGCTAGTGCTGAACTACCAAATGAGGCTAATTTCATGAGGGTGCATTTTCTAGTATAGGGAACCTAATATAACAAACAGACAATTTGGCAAAGAAGCGGGGGTATAATATTTGCATTGTTTTCTAGTGTTCTTACTGTGCCACAAATTGAAATAATTCGAGGTGGACGACAAAACACACTTCCATTCGTGAAGCCTGGACCACCAACCTTGCGGTTTATGGGTTTTAAAGCAGCGAGTTCTCTCACCACTGACGGAAAGACTCAACCTCCATTCTATGAATGAATGAATGAATGAATGAATGAGTCAATAAATCATATCTTTATTTCCAACATCATCAGTTTGTGTACTGTTATTCACCACTGATGTCACTGTGTCATTATTATTATACAACAGTTAAAAATACTGAAAACATTGCTCCATGTACTTTTACTGTTTTGATTGTTTCTTAGATTAATTTGTTTGTGTTTAACAAAGCAATGAGCTACTCACGCAACTATTTTTCTTTTGTTATTATTTATGTTGTTACTCGTCACCAATGCCTAAAAAAAAGAAGACCTATATAGAATAAATCTGTTTCTTCAGCATTAGCCTCGAAGGTGAATATTTCTTCTATGTCACCTTACGTGGTACTGATTAACTTCGCGAGATGTCGCAGCTACTTGTCCATACCCGAGAAATCTCCTAAACCATGCTTGGACTTTAATCGCAATTGTTTGTTCTCGGAGCTCGGAGATATTATTAGGTTTCCAGTTATTTCATGGCGTGTACCCTGAAGCAGGCCTAATTACAAGGAGGTGAAGTTCTGCAGCCTTTGCCGACTCAACCACCATGAACATGGTACCTTAGCAGTGCAGACAATCAAGTGCATTTGGTTCTAGGTATAGAAGTACGCTGTGGGAATAAAGCATGCGTGAATACACTTCTAGATGGTTAACTCCAACCAAGGTCTCATACCTTCTTGACTACAATATTGCGTGAAAAAAGAGCTATCTGACTCATTGTTTTTTGTATACTACCATCATAAGGAGGTCTGAATAGAGCTACCTGTATGTAAGATAGTGTAATATACCTATAAAAAATAATGGTACGACTCTTTTAAGAGTGAGCTATGGCAACTTCGATCATGTCTTGCAAGGTGCTCAGCTGTCTGTGCTAACAATCTCGCAGTATTTGATTATCACAAAAATTATTTCTCTTCAAGAAGTATGTCACAATGAATTGGCCATATTGAATTGCTTTTTGTCAAAAGTATTTCATTAGATAAATTTATGAGACAAGGAGGCGAGGTGCATGCCATTACCAGTGGTACTATGAGTACGTATGCCAAGAAATAATAATAATAATAATAATACAACAATACCTGTCACTTATTATTATTATTATTATTAAGTGACAGGTATTGTTGGAGTGCACCTAAAAGCTAATTGCAGTGAAGTTGCGCATTGAAGTCACACGGGAAAATCAGCTCTTTGAATAGTTATTCAGTCTCAATAATTTTTAATGGCGTTCCTTCTAGAGACATTTGATTAGAAGTAGCCATTCTAAGTACCGCAAATCCTAATGGCAGTCTAAACGTAATGCAGCCGAACAAACCGACTAATGTATCATGTGACATTGTCTTGTGTCAAGAACGATTCCTTTACAAAGACTTCTCACACTGTTTTTTGGAATGTATTCTTTCAAAATCATTTTCGTTTTTTTTTCTTTCTTCTACAGCATGTCCTGAAAACTTGAAACTTGTGGAACGCAATGCAACGAGCTTCACGCTCAGTTGGTCTGTCGACCCTAACGCAACAAAGTGCGAAATTACAGTGACACCCGAAAAAGGCTTCGACGAAGAACTTACAAAGCTGGAAAATGCTTGCGAACACGACAAGCCGCTAAATGGTACGGTGATGCACACAGTGACTGGACTTCAGCCGTGGACACGCTACAACGTAACTGTGAAGAACTGCCGAGAAGCTTTTTGTGGTCTGCCAGCGTTCCTGATCAATATCACCGAAGTTGCTGGTAAGGATAAACTAGATTACGCTTTGATAGTTAGGTTCAGTCCTACTAGGTTACATCTTTCTTTGTAGAGTAATAGTGGCGAATGTCACTGTTGCAAATGCCAAAGAATCATTAAATTGGAAAACGTTAGAAGCCAATGGGCTCAACTTAGGCTTTTATGTTTGGTATTTTGTACATATATTCTTGCAGAGGAAGTCTTGGTCCCGCTAATACTTGAATATGGTGTCTCGGCATTCTTATGTCCTGATCTATTACTTGTGTCAATATTGTGTCAAGTGGCCGCATCAGAGATTTCACTTACAATTCATCTAATGGTTATGCAAAGGTCGGTGAACTCACTCACGAATGACTCACTCAGTCTGAGATAAAGCAGTGAGTGAGTCTGAAGGAGCATGGGTGAGTAATATTCGACGAGATTGAGTCAGTGTGAGTCAGGTTCAAGAACATCCAACTGCTGATGTTCTTCTCATAGGCCACATAGAAAGAAGCGTGCGACTTTTTCCTGCTCTACTAGGGGTCACTATGATCTGAGCCGCTTGTAAAAGCACCATTTCCTCTTCCAATCGACTAATTCAAGTAGCTTTTTTCAATAAATATCCAGACAGTTTATCGGCCACTCAGTATCACTTTTAACTTGAACAGGAATTATGCGCGGCGTACCAGTTTTATTTTTGAGAATGCATTCTCCAAACACTCAGTAAACCGGAAGGAAGAATTTGACCACAAGTGTGCGGAGGAGAATCAAGAGTATCACTCCCACCTTGCGCCTCTAGAAATGTGTAATACAATACAATTAGTCACAAGGGCTTGCCGGTAAGTACGAATTTGCATATTTGTCAAAATATATTTAAGTGAGTAATCTTGTACATCAGAGGCAGGATGACATTTTCAGTGCGGTGACGAGACACTTCGAATATTTGAGGTACGCATCAGAGATTTCACTTAAAATTCATCTAATGGTTATGCATAGGTCGGTGAACTCACCCACGAATGACTCACTCAGTCTGAGATCAAGCAGTGAGTGAGTCCGAAGGAGCATGGGTGAGTAATTTTCGACGAGTTTGAGTCAGTGTGAGTCAGGTTCAAGAACATCCTAGTGAATCTAAGTCTGAATGGGTCTGCTTGAAGAAAAGTTTGATGAGCACAAGGTGAGCACTGAGATAAAAATATATTTCTTGAGTGAGATCCACTCGTGAGCTGGTAAAACATTGTGTAAGTAACAACAGAAAGTTAGAGGGCACGGAGATTTTCTCGTACAGTCATTTGCTGCTATGTCTATATTCCAGCTCCTTCGAAAGTGCGGAATTTCAGTTATTCCATTTACAAGGACGTCAATGCTCTCCTAACATGGGAAGAGCCGGAACAGCATAACGGACCTCTCACAGGCTACGTCATCCAAATGTACAATGAAGATCGAAATGAAACAAATGTCACCTACGTAGAAGGGGATCACACTGAAAAAGAAATTAACTTAAAGGATCAGTTCAATCTTTTCAACGTGTCCATATCGGCATTCAACAAGGCCGAAACGAGCAACCAAACCATCTATGGCCCTGAGTCTCAGATACAGTTCGAAACTCTTGGCAAAGGTGAGTTGTATGAAGTTTGCACTTATGGGTACAATTAATACCAATGGGTATTAGTGGGTTCCAGTGGGTACCATGGGTACCCATTCATACTGCGGACATCTAATTATTAAGCATGATACTAACTAGTGCTCACTTATTGCCCATGACTAATAAGGATAGCAATAGGTGATGGCAATTACATTTCATGCTTTCGCTAATTGCCATCAATGGTGCTCCTACGCCAAAAATTGAGCAAGACGAAACAGTATGAATTATCAGCACCTAGAATAAACAAACTCTATAGCAACGTTGCCACATAACGTATCACTTTTTGCCTCGTAAATCAATGTAGGAAGAAATACTAAAAAACTATCATTGGTACATTGATTTAGTCGCTATGATGTTTTAAGCCTAAGCAAAAGGTCGAGGGTTCAATAACCATTCATGTTAGCTGTGTCAAGAGGAGTGCCGCGTGTGAATGTTTTGAATAGATACAATTATGACGAAATGAACGTTAATGCTGTTCTCGTAGGTACTAGTAGAAAAACAAATCTTAAGGGTATGGTCAACAGCTATATTTTATGTTCAACAAAAAAAGCCTTCAGAATGTCGACTTCTAATTGAGGCTTTACTTTTTCACCACTTGATGGCCACAATAACACTTTATGCACTAATAACCTATTTCTTTCATTCCTGTACTTCAGATGCTCCAGAACACTTCAATCTGCCTACAAAGTCGAGCGTTGCATCGAGACGTTAAACCCAATAAATGAATGAAAAAAATAGCATATAGGTATACCAGAAAACAGGACCGTAACTAATTCGTGTAGTTTTTCTTGGTATATAGGCTAAAATAACAGTTAAATACAGGTACGTGCGAATAATAAAGTGTGACAGTTTCTTCAGATTTTTTATAATTTATTTACAAATACTGCCGAGTGCTTATATCAGTGTACAAGAACCAAGTAGTTATGAAGAAAATTGACTTGAACAATGAATAGTATATGTGATACACGTGCATTGAAGGAAACTGATTTCATTCAATGTGTCCTTTTTTTCACGACTAATGATGAGATTTTCACTGCCTATGCAGCTATGCAACTACACCACCTATGTAACTACCTACTTGCTTAGGCTAGGTTAGAATTGACTAGGTTAGGTTTGGTTGAGTTAGGTTGAGTTCAATTAGATTAGGCGAGCGCCTCACATCCGTATTATCATTCGACAAGTAGGGAGCACACACAATCCGGCATTGCTGATGTTTTTTTTTGTCAGGACCGCTACCACCTCGCCCAAAACCGAAGGAAGTGAAAGAGGACAGTGTCCATCTCTCGTGGGAAGAACCTCATGATCCGAGGTACAACATCACCGGCTTCAGCATCAGAGTCAACAATCAGCCACCGGTGGAAATAAACCAGTCGAGCTATACAATTGATCATCTGACGCCGTGGACTGAGTACAACGTCAGCGTTGCTTCTTGCACGAAAAGGACGAGCTGCGGACAATGTCGGCACCTGGAGGTGAAGACAGACTTTGCAGGTGCGTAAAACATTCTTCGTGCCTAAAGAGTTCGCTTGTTTTTAGGGGAACGGAATGAAAGTATCTCTGTTCAACTCTTGTAGCTGACAGATTTCAATGACGTTACCGTGCATGAATAGCCAGGTACCAAACCAGGCACGAATAATGAGTCGCTATCATAATAAAATGCAACCCTTGAAGGTGAAATGGGCACATGCGTATTTGCACTCGTTGCGATTGTCGCTGATCAGCTGTTTCTCATGTGACATTATCATCTTTCATTGAGGTCATTGCTTATTTAACGTTGCCCCACCTCATTGCGGCTTGGATAAGAACACCTCATGTTTTGTTGCTGCTAGTAGAATCTGGAGTGTTGTTATTTCTTTTTTAATGTCACAATATATTCAAGGTCGCATTACTTAGTCACTTTATTGTCTGCATTTATTTGCGGTGTTGTAGCAAAAGCTTCCTTCTATTAAATGAAGACATTTATTAGTAATACTGAGCAATATGGACTTCCCTATAGCATGTAACTTTCAAGAGACTGAATCATTTAAAAGTAAAAGCTGCGCACTTGTACCAAAAGTCAAGAACTACTGAAATAGTAGTCAGTATTTGCAGAAAGTTTTTCTTGCTTTGTGAGAAAAGTTATTCGAGAGATAAATAACTATTTCATCAATCGACACATTATATATTGATCTTCGTCTTAGAAAGGCTGCTATGCAGTAGTGTAGAAGCATTAATTGTAGCGCCATAAAACAAGTTTAAACCAGGTTTTATTTCATACAACAATACGCAAAAGTTTTTAAGCCACCTTAGAAATTGTCGAAAAGAATGAAATCAGCAATACGTCCTGAATACCAGAAGTGACTGAGGATAAGCTTATGGTATGCAATCTCAAATGAGAAATCTTAAGTGCATGCAGAAGAAATTCACAAAAGGTTCCCCGAACAAAAAAGTTTTCGCATGTTAGCTGTGTCAGATTGCCAAAACCACCTTGCTAGACACAACAAAATGCCTGGCTAGGGAGAAAATGCGCAAAAAAAAGCAAGTTCTTACATCATTTTAAATTTTGGGCACAAGATGCTGTGACGTCATAAACTTTAAGGGCATATAATGTAGATGCATTGTAGCTAAGAATCGATAAAAATAAAGTACTTGACCTTTGATCATGATATATATTTAACACACCAATTTTAGGTGTTTGATGGAGCGAATGTTGCCAAAAATACAAAAAAATGCGCAGGTAAATTGGTGACGTCACGCACAGAGATGCCGGTGAGATTTTGAAGAATGAAACTTCGATCTGTGTTTTATCCTGTATTTATGAGCCTAACATGAAGAAGTCAAGAGTGTTCATGGTTTCGGAGTAGAATATATCCATTGAATGATTTGGTATTTATCATTAGTGTCTCTTTAAAGGGCGGCAAGTTACAGCTTACAAGAGAAGCGAAATATGTGTGGTATGCTTATGATAGAACACAGCTGAGCTAGTTTGTACGTGTTCACTATAAACACAAGGTGTGCAAATAAGCACAAGAGAGAAATCAAAACACCACAATCGTGGCGTTTGAGGTGTCTTGATTTCTCTTTTGTGCCTGCGTTTGCCGGTTCGGTGTTTTACCACGAATGCGTTTTACAACAGCTGAGCTCTGTCTTCTTTTAAGCATTATCAAATGTACTCTGAGCCTTTTTAAGCGTTCTTCTAGTCAGTACACACACGCTTTTCTGGCCTCGTTGATTGTTATTTCTTCCGTGCAAAGAATACACGTGTTTCTGGTTTCTTGATCTCTCGTGCGTCAGTGTTTGCCCTACCTCTTCTAAAAAGAATACACGGTACGTGTTCCAGCGCCATCGGCACCGCTTGATCTCAAGGCTCCTGAAGCCGGTACCGACTGGATGCTGGTGCAGTGGGAAAAGCCCAAGGTCTTCAATGGCCCGCTGAGTGGATACAATGTCACTTTCAGCCACGGAAGCAGCTCTCCGTTTGCTGTCACCACAAATGTGACGTACAACTTCACGGATCTGGTTCCTGGCACACTGTACGATGTATCAGTTTATGCATTCAATGAGGGGAAATCTGTCACTAAGCGTGGACCTCCCGCCTCACTGCAGGCCACCACGCAAGCTCAGGGTAAGTACTATCTCTGTTTTCAATGCGAATTCATTTATTAATTGGGCTATGTCAGGCATCCGGCATTGTCTGCACGCCGGCAGGTGTCACATCTCCCCTCTAACTCCCTTTCCCATAGCAACAGCTGCGGGCGCTCGCGCTTTCCTCGCATGTGGTGCGAAAGAGTGTAGGAGAGGGTAAGAGCAGTGCAACGTCGACTAAAATTTAGTCGGCGTTGAGCCGTGCTTCGCTCCCAGTGTCCGCTCTCCATCCTTTCTGTGTCCCATCGACGCCGAATAAATTTAGTTGGCATTAATCGCACCGTCCAGTCGCACCTCTCTCTCGGCCATTTGATGGCTGGTCGCCTCTCAAGAACATCCAGAAATGTGTGCGCAAGATGGCGCTGTGAAACGCCAGCACTAGGCCGTGAACGCTGTTTGTTTTGTTCACTTGATAATATCTTTCAACCTTGCGTTTTAATGGTGCACGCTAGCTACTAGAGCTGAAAACGCATACCACGTTTCTCGTGACAGAAAAACACCACGTTCGACTAACGGCATTATTGGCTGCACGGTGAAAGAAAAAAAAGAAAAAAAGAAAACAATGTTATTCTTGTAATGTTGGGTTCTCATGCGTGAAACGCCGTTATGGACGCTGCGCAATGCATTCGCATTTACTCACGATTTTTTTTTTTGGTGAGATGAGGCATTATTTTGTGTCTTCTAATAGCGCGTATTTTTTCGACGTTATTTCTGTGACAGATATCATTACTAAGGCCTCGGAAGACTCCGGCATTAAACACTTTCGTGTTACAAGAGCTGCAACAATGATGCTTCCTGCCTAACTCAACGAACTTCATATACTCTTGGCTTCAGAATAAATTTAAGAACAACAGAACTTCATTGAATAGTCAATGCATCGGACTCTCAATAATCTTTCGATTCGTTGAGCAACCGCTTAATTTTGCTGGCACGCGAAATTGTGGAAGAAAATTTTGTTGTATTGACAAACACATGATCCGTTATTATTACATTGGGCGCAGGTGAATTACTTTCAAATTTTTGCAAGCGTTTACATTACTTTAGAGTGTATGCTTGAATTTACAATAACCTCAGATTACGATCTGCTTTTCCACGTTGCCCTTTGCTGTAGAGACAGTGTAAGTTACATAGCCACAATCAAACACGAGTGATGCATGCTTGCATTTTATATGAATTGAATAATCTTTTATGAATGATTTCATTGACCCTGAGTGTTTGTAAATTTTTAACAGAAAAGGCAAAGTTTCGAGAGATTTTTTTAGCAACGTATAACTTTGTGTTCATCAATTTACTTTCAGCTCAAAAAGCTTCAGTTGCCGTGGTAGTCGTGGCGGTTGTGGTACCACTCATCTTTATTATTCTCATCGCTGCCTACTTTGTATACAAGAAGTTCCAGAAGAGGACAGGGTATGTGCTAATTTAATAAAAAAACTTATCATTGACCTATGAGTATTGATTTTCCACATTTATAATTGAAACCTCTTGGGATGCTGTCAGTGCTATTTTATGCTTAACTTATCATTCACTCATATACTCGTTTATTCATTTATATTTATTACAAGTTAAGTTAGCGCATGAAAGTGCTTAACAGTTGGTATACCCATAGCCAAAGAATAGTAAGCGGCGAAAACAAGGGCGAAATAATATATACAGATTGTGTTAGCGGAGCAGGTATTTCATAACGATGTTTGAATGAAAACAAGGCAATAAAGGAATAGAGAGGCTGTAAGAAAAGAAACAAAGTTATGACAAGACAATTGCACTATCATACAACATAACATTACATGCACTAAATGTATTGTATTGATATTGTACAACAAAAATAAATGTAAAATGCTCATGGATACATATAAATAGAGAAAATATTTCGGCTGAATTGGCAAAGCTTTCGTTTCAGAAGTACTCCTTGCAAAGTGAAAGTGAATCACTTTCCCTGAGGTATTGAATTCACTTGGCTCACACATTTATCAACTTCAAAAAGTAACAACTGTTGAAGAAGACGAAAATGTGAAAGAAAAAAGATGTTTGTAAGCCTGTACCCTCGTCTCATTTTTCAAAACCGCGTTTCCCCTGTAAGGTTCTGTAACGGCGTTTGCTACACACATAGGTTCACCATTAGAGGTGGCTTAAAAATTTTATAGACATTAGTCTTCTTTGGGGTACTTCGACGCAAAAGTTTTGGTGGGGCTCTCTGAACATTTCTCTGGTTTTCCGTAGTAACAATACCCCAAACGGCCCCAAACTATATCCCAAAACGGCCAACCCCATCTGCGGCGCCCACCAAAATTGCTCAAGTTTCAGCGTTCATACTTCTGCGATTGTCAATTAAAAAGCAATCGCTGTGCATATGTGACACACCATAACAACGCATAAATATTTTTTATGTGTGTCTTTACACTAGAGCAGGCATACATTAGTAATTCTGAGGACCATAGCTTTTATCATGCTTCGCGCTGAGGATGCAACGCGATCCCCAAAAAGACGTGTTTCCAACGCTTTGACAAAACGACAGGGTGGTGGCACCTGCCCATTGCTTTGCGTTCTACACTTTATTACCTCCACGATGGGTGCGCACGCGTTCCTTCGTTTTCGAAGATAACTGCCAGATGGCACCTGTGTCTAACGTTCCTCGATGCGCTCGTTCGCCTTCACTGCATGGATCGAGACTCTCTAACGGAGTGCTTCCAGAATAAAACTCACAGATTTTCTCACGTAAGAGACCACATAAACGTTTTGTTCACTCTTTCTAGACGCAAGACTATTGTCTTTCGACAAAATGTTCAGTGAAGCGTGGAGATACGAGGCCAATTTTCTTTTTACTTCCAAATGATTCCAGTAAAATAAGAAGCTAAGTGTTTGCGAATTCATATCCTAGAACTAAAACTTCACCTTAAAGGAGCCCTGCAACACATTTCGGAATTATCATGAAATGACTTCATTAAGAAAACCTTGATTGCCTCACGCATCGACTGTCAGACACTACGGAATAACAGGGATTTGTCGGCTGCTTCAAACGCTTTCTCTCATCTTTAGTACTAAGGAACACGCTCAAAGCTTCGCAGAGAAGGTGACGGCGAAGGGTCATGAAGGCTAATTCTTTTGTCAGCGTGCGTCATACACACGAGCACTTCCCTTTCTTCTTCGACCACGCAATTTACTCTCAGCGTGATCGACAGAGCGCGTGCGGGCGTGTGGCGCCATCACACGGTGAGCATGTTAACCGTGCCCCCTACGATGATATTCTCAGTGAGCAGCCGTGGACTTTGGTTTATGACACTGTCATTTGGGCTTATGACATCACTTGTCAAGAGAAGAGAAGTAGCGGTCGCTTTCTGGTTTGGAGAATCGTTTACAAATGCCAGGTTGCGCACTGTGTTGCGCAACCACGTTTGGCTCGTATTTTATCAGTTGCCTTGTCTGCCCATTGACAGTGTTTTCTCGCCATACTCAAAGTCCATTGCACGGTCCTTTCAAACACGGACACACATATCGTATTAAACGTCCACGAGTCGTTTTGTTATTTTTCAAATGGTACTTTTCACCAATAATGAGCAGCTAAACTGCTGCGCTGCTAAGTTCGAAAGGGCGCGTTCGAATCCAGCCTTCAAAGGGCGCATTTTGACAGATGTCACATAAAAAAATTAAAATAAACCGAACACAACTTAAAATACATGTAGTTTTTTTTTTAGTTTCCAGACTTATTTGGAGGTACTTAATGTGGTTTGCCTCATGATCACATCGTAGATTTCGTAAATTCGGTAGATGAAATCACACAATGTAGGTTTTTGTGTGGATTTTGCACGTTCGTTTTGAAAAGAACGGATGCCTTAAGCTTATTAAAAAAGAACAATGATTTTCTCAGCCCATATTTTTATTTAGGGTTTTTTCTTTTATCTTTTGTAGGGAGCGTACGCCTCTGAGATCTGCTGAAGGAATGTAGAAAAAACTTGTGATTTCAATTCAAGGTACTCAAGAGTGAGCGTTCCTACTGAGTGCATTGTTTTTTGCATGGTTGTGTTTGAACGATGTGTTGTTATGTAAATAAAATGTGTGCCAAACTGTTACACCTGTTGTGAAGCAGTGTAAGTAGGAGTCCAGTAAAGTTTATGAGAAAATAAAGATGACTATTGAAAACGACGGCCAAGTTCGATTACAAGGTTGCCTGCCGCTGCCATGCACTTTACTAATGGAAAGTGCTTCTTCAAGTATGCAATCGAGCACTCGATGGCTTGTTCAGGTGAAGTTATCTGTTCATACTTTGTAGTATGGTCTTGTCTGTGTCTGGGAACAACCCGTATGAATTTTGAATCCTTTTTCCGACCTCAATTCTTCCCCTTTTGCAGGGAAGAAAACCAGTTTCTACTACCATGTTGACCTCTATGTCTTAAAGTTCAAATTCCTCCTCCTTGTCTGGTTAATAGGGCACAAACGCTGCACTTGTACTGCGTTTCTACAGCGTTATCGATACCTATGTTATTTCTCGCCATTTCAGGGTAGATAAATTTCCATCACGTGTAGTACATACTTGCACACCTTATACCACCGGGTATCTGCCACTGTTTTTCGCAGTGTTTGACGACGTACGTTACAGGAATGTGAGAATCATGATCATGACCAGTGCATCATATTAGTGAAACCATCTTACCCTGCTGCACTAATTTTGGTGTACCCCAAGTTAAGGAGGTGTTCACGAAAGCACCCAGACGTAGGCGGTATGATAGATAGATAGATAGATAGATAGATAGATAGATAGATAGATAGATAGATAGATAGATAGATGTCAAAAGTGCTCGCGTACTACAAAGAAATGCTTCGTATTAAAAAAAAAACATCACTGAAGTAGTTGATACTCTGTGGAACAGACGCAAGACTATGTCTTTATGCAACAGTTTAAATTACAGCAACATCTCGAGCCAAACTTTTTGTTATGGGCGATATTCACCCAAATAATCCGTCTTTATGGTTTAGCTATTGCCAAGCAGGTGGCCCATCACCAGTGTCTCGCAGTACTGTTTCTCAAACAGCTTTGGGAAAGTATCGATAAACAAATTGCAATTAACTATGATGGCTTATAAATTAGAAATGGTTAATAATTTAGAGCCAAGTTTGTGAAAATTCATTTTAGCATGCTTTAACAAATGGTGGAGACTTTGATCAGTGTCAACTTTCTCACAAGACCTTGAAGGGATCGTGGCTGGTTCAGCTGATGAGCCATCTTACACACACAGTACGGTACACTGCTAAAAGATACACTCAAATGCGCAATTTTGTACTTGCTAACACCTCTGACTGCAAGTGGATGCAGAGACATCAGTCATGCTATGCCCTCACCTTTCGAAAGGAGTCAGAAATGTAAACCACCGTTAGTTTTATGCAAGTCTAAGTTACTGTACATTACAAACAGTGAAATCTTGAGGTGTCGCACACGCAAGAGTTTCCGTTAACAGTGAGTGGCCCTGTGCTTTTGTTGCGTAGCTTCATGTTTTTCGCTCATATAGTGTCCATAAAGTGCGTGGTGTACCAGCTAAACATAATTTTTCGCTACAAATTCTGAAGTCATAATTGGTGGCTTCGAACGGTTACACTCAGGCACCCACTAATAAGTACAACGCTGGGAGGACCACATTGAAATAAATATGTGGACACAGAAAGACGACAGACACAGTGTTGCGTGTGGTGTCGCCATTTTTACCCCCGTATTTTATAGCGATAGGTTGCTTCCCGTGCTTTCACCAACAGGTCCGAGCTTCTACGCCACGTAAGAGAAGGAGATTTCACTGTGAATGATCTCGAGGTAACGAAGTACTCTAGTAACCACGGGAATGCCACGGACTTTCACAAAAACTACCCACTGCGACAGACACGTAGCGAAGTTTTGAAACTCTCTTTAAACGCACTAGGGTGACACGGGAGACGGGTGATAGTGCTCGAAATGACGCAGGCCAAGGACGAGATATCATTACTCCACGATGTTGGCAGTTAGTGGCTGATGAGCCGAATCTCAGAAAGCAGCGGCCGTGACAGATAGGAGCGAGAAGGAGAATGCTCGGACACGAAAGACTTTCATCTCGTTTCACTCCTGGCCCTGCCGCGACGATGAAGGGTGTGGCAACGCTAATATTCCTCCTCTGGATCAATTTAGGGGCCAACTACAGAATCACGGTAAGGAACTCCATGAAGTGCAGTGTTATTGAACGGAGGAGGTCGTACTGTTGCTCTGTATTACCCCATTTTGAATGGCGTTATCCCATTTTGAATCAACCGTTCATGGTATGTGACGTTTAACTTACCAAAACAACCATACGAATAAGAGAGACGCCGTAGTGGATCGCTCCGGAAATTTAGACGACATGGGGTTCTTTAACAGGCACCCAAATCGAAGCACACAGGCCTACAGCATTTTCGCCTCCATCAAAAATTCAGCCACCGAAGCCGGGATTTGATCATGCGACATGCGGGTCAGCATCCAAGTACCTTAGCCACTAGACCAACGTGGCGGGGCCTAATAAACCGTTGAAAAAAATGAATGACATTTCCACAAGTTTATGCCAGGGCTCGCAACACCGTACTCAAAGCAAATGAAAATGGTTCACTAAATTATAGCCTATCTTAAAACAGTAAAACGCATTTGCAACGCAATTTGTTAACCAATGATTGTAAAGTTTGTAACGACATATTTCTTCATAAAATCGATCCAATTACACACCTAAATTACATATATTATCTGCTGCTAGCGAGAATCCCCCGAAATAATAAAGATCATAATAGAAATATTTGCCTTTAGTTGTTTCCCATCGAGAGCCTCGTTACACACATGCTGTCTTCAAGAAGTTGATTGTACATAGAAAATTATTTCACATTCAAATAATTTATAGAGACATTGGGTAACAAGATTGTTTAATTTACCTTTATATGAGCGTTATTTTCTTTTGAGTCACATTAGGGCAAAAAGAAAAAAAGAAATACGTAGCGTATATAAAATTACACACTGTGTCGCCAAAGGGTACATTTGATGGAGAACGCTACCCTAGCTACGCAGTTAGCATAGCAGCATGAATTTCTCCAAAATATGTCTAGTGTATAACGAATTCATCTGTGTTAAGAAGCGGTATTAAAATGGTATAAATCTTCCACTTCAAAATGTCATTGAGGTGGCGGGTTCACTTCTCAAGGCCATCAGAAAACCAACCAGTTTTTCTTGAGCAGTTTGCTTGACTAGCGAAGCACGTTTACTTGGTGTTAGGGGGAGTAAAGGGGAGGAGTCTCAAAACGTATCCCTAAGATGAAAAGTTCGTAAAACAGGGAAGCGTCGGTGGTTGCTGTCAAAGGTAGAGAATCGCTGACACCAGGTGCCTGTCGGGTAAGAGTGCACAAGAGTCCTTCTAGCCAGCTCCCCGGCAGAATGAAGTCATCACTTGTTTGCGTTTCATACAGTTTTTTTTCATTTTGATAAATTTGAAAGACAATGCATTCCTGGGTCTCTGCAGCTCATGTTGTGTCGTGGTGCATAATAGCGGTAATTTCTAACAGTACAATGAAGATCGTATGAAGTGACCTTCTTCTGCTTAGGATTGTACAGTACCCCCTGTGTTACTAACAGAAATCCGGAAACATTGAGAGTTTGTTTCCTAGTTTAAAACAGCCTTTCATTATTCATTTGCAAAGTAAAAGAGGTACATTTATTTCCCAAAAGACAGTATTACAGAAATCCATTTCAACTCGTTCGAATACCTATTGTAATTTTGTACAAAAAGCAGCGCTACAGTTGAATTTTTGTGAGTGACCACCATAATTAACAAGTTACGAAAAAAATAAGCGTTGTATTATTTTCATTTTTACACAGTTAGGGTAAATGTACTTGAGTCACAGTTTCTCGATGGCGGCCATGGTGGCCTGCCGTAAACGAATGGGGATCATATGGCGAAACAGACGCAGCTTTGTGATAGCTACTTCTTCTTTACGAGTGCGGCAAAAGTCTCTTCGCGAGGGATATAATCAATGGTGATATTTGGTAGAGTTTGTCAATGCTGTACCTTCAAAGACTTCCATAAGCGTACGTCTGCGCAATCGAGCAGCAGTCACATAAGCGGATGATGAAAACTGTGGTATAATCGGTCCGCTCATTGACGACTTAGCTAAGAAATCGGCGATTTCGTTTAGAAATAAGGCTTTATGTCCAGGCACCCAAACTGATCGGACTTTTCTCAAATGTGCAGGCACCAGTGTACGGAACGCCTTTGTTACATAATTATTCGCACCAACAAAAAGTGCCACACAGAGAGATAGGAATCTGTTATTATAACAGCTGATGTCTTTGCCGTATCCAACTTGCGTCAGGCGAGCACTACTGCTAGAAACTCAGCCACAAAAACGGGTATGAAATCGGGTAGTCGAAGGGAATAAGGCCGATGTAAAATCGGGCTGAAAAGAAAATACCAACCCCTGACTTTTCGTCACCTTGAAATGCTCCTGTAGCAATAACAACGTTTATTGTATTACTGCGCAAGTGATCTTGTAGTAAACCATCCAAAATATTACTGGGGAAGTAATTTGGCGTTATTAGAAAAAAATGTCGTCAAAATGAATTTCCACAGGGTATGAATTATCATGACTCGGTATGATATCGCATATACTTACGTTGAGAGGCTCTAGTAAACTTTTGTAGAAATATAACTTGTGGAGTGTGCAATCGCGGCCATCTAGCACCGAAAAATGAATCCCGGGGTGGAAATAAATGCTGTTTCAGATTGTCGTAATGGTTATTCACAAATTCTTAAGAATGTCTGAACAGTCCAGAAGGCAAACTCTGCAGGGAAGTTGAGGGACCCTCGATTTGATATACAACGCATTGTTAGCAACTGTTAAAGGCAGGCCAAGGCGTAAGCGCAAAGCTTCTCTTTTCAGAAGAACTATAGTCCGTAAGTTGTAAGCTGGAACTTCGGAGAAGAGTACACAACCTAATTCAAAAATAGGACCAACGTACATGTGATATATCATTACCAGTGTGTCTCTTCTCATACATATACGGTAGTTGCTTAGCCTACGTAATATGCCAATGGCCCGCGCACCTTTTCCGGCGATGTATTCGAAGTGAGGTCGCCAGTTAAGCGATGTATGATAAATTACTCTAAGGTATTCAACAAATTTCATTTGTGGTATATCCTCATGATGTTAAGACAGAAAGAATTCCACAGGGTATTGCAGTGGAAAACAAGGAGGGCACATTTACTCGGAATAAGTAGAAAGCAATTGCCGTCAAGCCAGCTCTCTAATATATTAAGGTAAGTCTGAAGTCGTTCATACAGGGCCTGAACGTCATCTGCCAATGCAGAAAAAAAAAAAGCGGTATCGTCTGCGCAAACATAAGTTATGTCCTGTTTACGTGAAATGTTGCTCATTGGTAAATTAAATAGCACTGGGCAAAGCATTGAGCCTTGCGGTATCCCCTCATTTGTGTGCGTCGCTAAATCTTCAAGATTTTCGTCTTCGTCTTCTCTATCCGCTTTCACTCGCTTCTGTCTCCCATCCCAACTACAATTTGAAGAGAAGTAAAAGAGCAGGAGAGAGAGAGACAGAGGGCTGTAGTTCTGTATGGTAAAAGGAAGTGAAGGTGAGGAGGACTCATGTTAGGTTACGGAGGAAGAAAAGAAGGAAGTGAAAAGGTAAACCGTAGCATAACCATTGACTGTATCAACGACGTAGCCTGTGAAGTTGCAGGATTCCAGCGTTCCGACTTTTTTTTTTCAATTTTGCGTGTGTATAGGTACAAGCACACACACAAATGCTCGCAGGAATTTATACAAAAATCATTTAACCGGTCGCCTTCCCAAAAGACTTTCTGGCTAGGCTACCAATTTGAATAATTACACAGGACGGAAAAGAGGCGTGAGGGTAACATGGAGTAAACGGGGGAAAGTGTGCAGTATACAAAGAGATCAAGATAAAGGAACCATCGAAAAAAAAAAGGAGGTGTAAAAAGAGATACAGTGTGGAAGACGACTGGAATAAAAATATTTGATGAAGAAACCGCTTAATACTTGTTGGCTGATTGGCTAGGTGGTGGTGGTTGCTTTCCAGCTCCGCTGTTCACTGAGGTTTCACAGTTATGAAACTGCTCGTAAGTTTTGTTCTTATTAGGACCCACTGCTTCACGTTTTCTTTTTCATATATTTCATTGACGTCGTTGTGTTTACAGGGTTCATTCGTGCACTCGAAAATCGGAGCACTCTCAAGGCTGTACAGAAGGGAAGTCTTCAACAGTGCCAGCCCCGGTAACACATTTAGTCCATCAATCTCTTCCCCCTCCGTTAGAGGCCCAAGTCACCTCGCTATTTTTTAAGTATCTTGTATTTTTTGGCCTGTACCACAGCGTTACGAATCTCTGACCTTGAGGCCACAGTTCACGGCGGTAACCGAGCCACTGTCAAGTGGGAGAATGCCACGGGCCCGGTGACAGGCTACAACATGACAGTGTGCTCTGTCAGTGATCAACCTAGGTGTGAATCAGCCACGGGCCATAAGACGAGCTACAACCTTCATCATCTTGAGTCTGGAACACGGTACCAAGTCGACGTCTACGCTTACTTCAATGACGGTGGTGACACTACGAATGGAAGAAATGAGAGGATATTCTTCACGACAACAAAACGTGAGCAGAAACAGACTGTGCAACCTTTAGACATTACCACATTCATGAGGATGTGCTGTGCTAAAGGTAACATCCTTAAGTTAGCGGACGTCAAAACAATAATATACTTGACAGCGGGCTCTGAATACTTAATTGATGGGACATCAATTGATAAAAGCTTCGCAGTGATTCATACCTTCCTGTGTAAACACAAAACATTACACGACAATAAGGCAAAACTAATTAACAATATTTATTCACTGAACTTAACGCGTGCTTTGTGGCAGCCATCGTAATTTATTGCTGGATTTTAAAGCTGGCGCATCAGAAAATTGCATTTTTTCATACCTAAACAAAAATATGGTACAACCAAGGAAAAATAGAGTATTTGGGAAGTGTTGCTGCCACACAGCCATAGTGGTTATCAGTCTTTCTGGCGCTTTCGTTCTTGAGAAAACTCGGACCTCGCTATACCTTCGCATCAAAACTGTTACGCCAGGCTGATGTGCGCACGTCCATAGAGCTATTATACGAGTCTGTATATCAACTCTACGCGCCACGTCAGTTAAGACTGGGAAATGCCGAAACTGCTGTGATGACGCAAGAAATGTGTGCGAGGTGTAGACGACGAATTATGTCTCAACTAGAAATAATCCCGAACGTTTTTCTTGAAGCATGGCCATAGAGCGTGCGAGTGTTAGTCATGGGACACTCAAAGATTTCTCGCGCACCCATGAAGGGTTTTATGGTAAGCGTGTGTATGATACCTACTTCACACGGGCACGTTTCAAAGGCCGTTGAGCCGACGGCCATCAAAACGCCGCAGCTCTATCTACTCGATAGAGCTTGTCTCACTGCTACACGGCAGTTTTTAACAGCCGTTGAGTAGTTCAGGTGATTCTAATAATTTTGTGGTGCCACGAATTTTAATTTTTTTTCATGTTAGTGTGGGTGAAATAAGAGAAATTCACCGACAAGCACACATGCGTTTGTTATTGCTTGAAAACTTTGCTAAAAGGTTTGTCCGTAAGTATAAATGCATGTTTGGTTTTTAGGTTTTTGAGCAGTGACACTGTGACCGCGTTGTCACTGCTTGTCAGCGTGCCTACGTTTGCGCTGTTTCCGCTTCCGTCGCCCAGTAGCCATGGACGTTTCAACGCAGGTGTTAAGTGTTTTGTTGAATTGGCGAACGATTGACTCGGTGACCTTCAAAATCGCCTGCGTTGCTGCTCCTACGTGACCATTGAGCCAAGAGACTATTTGTACAATGGCCTTCCAAATGCCAGCATGACACTTGTATAAAAAGAAAACTGATCCATTTGATTATCTACTACGGTGTCGTTTTTTGATGGTGTCGTTTTGCTGACAATAAATATGTAGTTATCTATAAAGAAAATATCTAATCGAATGACTCTAGCTTAGGATTTTGAAAATTGGTGTGCAAGGTTGTAAGAGGCCGGTCAGAGACGCACTCGAAAATGGGTGGACATCATGATCTAAAGAGCTTATCGTGCTGACAGGCAATTTTACGTTCCCGCATTTGAGTCTTACCTAAGTACTGACACAGGGCCATCATTTGTTGCCTGTAACAAATGAAGTGTTGCCCTGGTAAAAACTTGAATGATGGGCCAATTTCCATTGTGCTGTAAATAAGCAGAATGCCACATTATGTCTAGCGAAATAAAACAAGTACGAAGACCGGAACGAAGGAATAAGAAAAGAATAAACGAGAAAAAAAGAATGGCAGAAAAGAAAAAAATTAGTACATTCAAACGCACGCCAAGCTTAGCCCATTTTACTCATATGACGATGGCATCTGAATTTTTTTAAACTTTTTTCTATAATTGCTGGAGTTTGACATCTCGAAACCCCCATATGATCATGAGAGACGCCATAGTGGAGGGCTCCAAAAATTTTGACCAGCTGGTGTTCTTTAACGTGCTCCTCAATTTAAGCACGAGAGCCTCAAGCTTTCTGCCTCCACCTAAGATGCGGCCGCCGCGGCCCTGATTCGATCTCGTGACCTGCTTGCCAGCAGCTGATCGCCATAGCCATTAGATAACTGGCGTGTTTTTTTTCCAATTTTAGTTTTCAGATTGGTATTTTGAGGGAACCTTACAGCTGTTCCTGAAACTGAAATTCACTACAGCTAAGGACTTCGGCTTTCCTATCATTCGTTTTGTCTCTCTTCCAATGACAGTTCGGCTTTCCTATAATTCGTTTTGTCTCTCTTCCAATGACAGTCCCATCCGTGGAGAACCTCGAAGCGACACCACTTGGTTCTACGTCAGTCGAGCTCAGGTGGGCACCCATCGAGGATAACGTGACGCACTTTGACATTGACGCCTGTCCGGCGGAGGGAGGTGCCTGCGTTCACGCCTTCACGTCCACCACTGGCCACATCCTCGGTGGCCTGAATCCTGAGACGAGCTACAAGATACACGTCCGTAGCGCGATCGAAGAAGAGAAAGAACTTTCGTTTGGTCCTAGGACTACAGTGGAGGCTACCACAACCATGCTGCGTAAGTTTGAAACCAGTCGACGTTAGGTCGACAGCCTAACATCGACAGCGTAACATTGACAGGTTTACATGAAATGTCAAGCAAGCCTCCCCTTTCGTCCTCCTCTTACGGTGAAAGATAATGAAGTAAGGTTTGGAGGAAGGGCCCGTTGGTCAGCGGCGGGTCCATATACAAGATTGAGACGGAAGAGACACGATGTTCTCATGAATGAACAGCTGTGCTTTCAACAAAATGCATCTCTAATTACATGTGAATTTACTGTTCTGGCTGAACTTAAGAAATCCTTCAGTGAAATTCATTCTGTATTCTTCTGTAAGGACATTGAAATGTTCTGACAATTCGTGACAATTCAAAATGCGACCCTAAGGCATCACACGGTAAAAGCATTAAAAAATTATCCTCATACCATAAGACTCAAAATTTGTGTTCTAGGAAACCGCTATTGCAGGGCGCTGTGCCTGAAGATAGGTTTTAATATATGGCGAGAAGGGAGAGCGAGGATGAGGGCCTCTTGATGAAACCTGGGTGCAAATCTCAGAACTGCTAAAAAGGAGAAGTAAGTGATTGTGGGGGATCTTTTGATTGTCTCACACTAGGAGAGTGAAAGCCTATGTTGCCGTTAGTAAGCTCAAAGCCAGATCAAAGCTTCAAGAGATGGAAAATTTTTCAAAGGGGGTATTCCTGAAGTCAATGTTTTGCAAGTTATCTTCTTTCAATTTCGACAATGAAGAAGACAAAATTACATGTGTAAACATTTACTCCAGTTACACCACTAGTCTGGGGAGTTTTTATCTTCCTTTTCTATAAGAAACTCATTAGGTTATTTCGGCTTTCTAACTTTATTGATATTTAACTTTAATTCCCATATTTTTTGTTTGACTCAATTTTTTTCACGCCAATTCTCATTCTATTTACTATATGCACTGATTGTTATTTTCGTGACTTCACGTATTCTTGCCGCTGTCAGTCTACCATCGCTCCACCTATCGTTTTAATTCTACACCATTGTGTACCTACTGTTCCCGTGCGCCCATTTACTGACGTTATTTCCGTGACGCAAATAGCTTCTGCCAAATCTTGGTGGATTCAATTATTAGGTAATTTTGTGTAAAAAGCCATGCTTAGGCATTGATAAGTCATTTCAACCTTCGTAATTATTTTTCTTTTTTTTGCAGCGGGAATTTCCGACGCTGTTATTAGGGCCACTTGCGACCATTTCATCATCGCATCCTGGAACTATACCTTTGAAAGCGTCACTGGCTTCCTCCTGAACCTGTGCACCGAAGGAGAGGCCTGCGTGACCCGGTCAGTTGACAAAGACGACCGAGAGCACAAATTTAAGGTGGACCCCATGCGACGGTCATACACGCTTTCTATGGAGGCGTACCTGTGGAAAGGGAACTCCAAACACTCAAGCAAGGTCGTTAACGTATCCGTTACGTCATTTCCTGAAGGCAAGTCGTATTGAGCATATGCTGTAAAGAATATTATTTCATAGTCAAGTTCTGCCGTAGCTTGCCTGCTCTAGTGATAGTTAGGTGTACTGCACCTTGACTACTCCACTTCTTCATGTTCGGGTGAAAAAAAAAAACAATTGTAGCTTACGATTGTGCTGATATCTGATGCCTAACGCATCACAAATGCATATTATATCACATATTATAAGTGACGTGGTAGTCGGGCGCTGGAGAAATGTCACCAATCGGGTGTTATTTCACGTGCTATGACGTGGAATATTTCATGAGCCTTTTACCTTTCGCCTTCATCAAAATGTAACCACTGCTACTCGAGTCGAGCCTGGTGCATGTAGTATAAGGAGTATCCTTGAAGCATGTAATATTGCGTGGCAGAGGCGTAGAATCTGGCCAGGGGTCAAAACATGGTAATTATGCAACGAGTGGGTATTTTCAAGGCCAGTCTATTAGAAATGACACTAACATAAATAGTCATCAGCAGCAAAATTTTCAACACAATGAAGAGTGGCGTATGTTTGCGTGGTGCTTTACGGACGCGTCGTGAACCCTTAGCTGTCTCGCAAATGCAAGGATTATGGCGTAGTGACACTTAAGAACTGTACTTGCAGCATGAATTTGAGGATAGTTGTAAATGGGCAATGTTACCTGCACAGTCATTCACTTTCTTACGGCAGGGCTTAGTCATGCACGAAGAACAGAAGCCGGACCATAGGTCAAGAATGGGTGCGCACTCATGGACCCGATTACGCCTCTGATTTCAACTCTCGAAAGTAAAGCTCTAGTGTCGTTCAATTTTTTTTTCGCCTGTGTATGCCTGCATACAAACGCACACACTAACACAGAAGTATGGTTCAGCTTACTGCAGCCCCCCCCCCCCCACTCAAGCAACAAAAAAAGTCTCTTGACGCCTCTGACAATCTTCCGTGCGTTGTTTACAGAATGATCGTTGCATTTCAGTTCCCAGGTTAGATCGCTTTGATGTCAAGCCAGTTTCGTCCAGCCAAGTCCGGGCCAGCTGGTACAACGACTTCAACGCTGATGTCCGTATACAAGTATGCCCATCGCAGTCGACAGACGCGAACTGCGCCACCTACGTAGCCCACGGTGCGCAGAAGGGCTACACACTCTAGTGGTTTGTCCTCCGGGACCAAGTACAGCATTGAAGCGACTCCAGCCGTTACACTGGGGGACCACAGCCCTTACTCGTGTCTCGGCCTTGCTGCCACAAGAGAAGTTACCACGCTCACAGAAGGTACGTGGCCATATAGTGTTTTCAGCATGATACGAAAATACGGTATGCGAATTCGGTGAGGCCGTATGGTAGCGCATCTCCTTTACAATAACTGTGCACCCGCTGGACGACAAGTCACTTTGTCGGCGTCTCTCGCTATCAATGCGTAGGCTCAGAGGCCGCATCCGAGCGTTATAACCACACAGTAATGTTTGATAAAAGCTTCTTGTGTTGTTCGTGTGCGTCTACTGATAAGAGGCCAATTACCAGAAAAGGAAGAGCGGTGTGGCGATACCGTACCGAATTTGCGTACCGTATTTACGCAACATGCAGGAAGACCCTTATAGCTTGAGTGAATGACATGAGCTTCAGTTGATGGAACTTTCCGGTGCCTGTATATTCAGACTTTCCTGCAATATTTACCAGAAGGGACGATACGACCAACGGCACATGCTAATGTGTGTGTCTAAGACCAGTTGTCTGCAAGAAGTGCGATAATGCTCTCACAGACTTCGCTGCTGAAGATGGTCTCGGACAGTGTCCTAGGACCTGCGACAACGCCTTCACACAGGACCTTCTGGGAGGTTGGTCCAGCGTGACATTGCCCACTATCACCGACAAGATGACGTAGAGGGCAGAAGGCGCATTGTAAATGGCAGTACTTTGATTTGGGCAAGTTGTGCAACGACAGGGTTTCTTGAAAGTGGTAGTGCGAAAATTCAACCAACGGCGAGGGAACATAGTAGACTCACGGACGCTGTCTAAATATTTTCACATTGGGATCATTCTTTAGTACTTGCCGTATACTCTCGTCATGACAGTGTACGTTAAGGCCATGGAAAGTTGAATGCTGCTTTGTCCTCTACACTGGTTGCCTAACAAGTGAACTGCAAGCCTTTCTTGCCTTAATACTTCAATTCATTGCTTTCAGCAATCTGCTTCGAGCTTGCGTCGAAACTGGGGCATATAGAGCCATAGCATTTTATGGTCTTGGCTTCTCAGCGTCTGATGTCATATTCACGGTTCATCCTAAATGAGTAGGCGCCACAAAAGCTAGGTTATTTCCACTATTCACCGAAGTTTTTATTGGTTTTCCACCCCTGACAACGCCACTGCTACATTACGAGTAGAAGGCTTGGGTTTGGGTTTATTTCCAACACAAAAAGGTGGGGGTTACCTGTTACTGCCTTAAGCATAACGTTTGACTTAGTAGTAGTTTCAGAAACCCTGACGAAATTTATCGAGACACTCAAGACGATTATATAAAACTAGAGACACAAACGTGCACCTTTATAATAAAGTCATGTCTACAATTAGGTGCATCTCAGCAGTGCTTCTCTACAGCAAAGTGGATTTCGAATGCTCTCAAACCTCGTACTCTGAATCGTTAACAACTTCCTCGGTGTGTCATGTTTAGAACTGAAATTTATTCAGTTAGATATTCATGGGCAGATTCTATGACTTTGGTGGTAAAGCCGTATATTTGAAACACCACTTCGTAAAACATACGTTCAAAGTTGTGGTGCGTTAGCGGACTGGTGTCCATAAAAAAGTGTAAACAGTAAAGGTTTTGCTTCTGGAACCACTGGCGGATAGTGATTTCTCTCCAAGTTTCACGTTAGGTCATCTGTTTTTAAGTTTCTCACATATGTTTTATTACTGCTCTTTTAATTTTTTTTGTTCCAGCTGTCTGCATATATGACGATAAGCTGATGCAAATGATCAAGCAGATCTCGGAGAATGTGAAGGCGCTGACCCGGCGACGAGGACAACTCAACGCCAACAGTAGAGATGATAACATCAGTGCAAAGTGCGAACTGATAGAGGCCAAACTAAGGACACTGACGGAGAAGGATGTGAATGACTGCTTCGATGACATCGACAATCTGATAGAGACTTACAAAAGAAAAACACACGACCTGAGCTCAGAATAAAATCGCATCTTTACTTTAAAAAAATGGCCCCGTATCTGCATGTTTCACTCCAAATGCCGTCAAAAGACGATAGTCGTGCGTGTGAAGAGAGTGATCAAAACTTTTATTTGATATTCTGTGCGAGAAATTTGGTGAATTGTATTCTAAAAGCACTGCGTTAGAGAGTCTCGATCCGTGCAGAGGAGGCGAACGAGTGCATTGAGGCACGTTTTACACGAGTTCCATCTGGCAGTTATCTTTGAGAACGAAGGAAGGCATGGGTACCTGTCTCTGAGGCGATAAGGAGTTGAACGCAAAGAGACGGGTAGGTGCCATCATCGTGTTGTCTTAGCAAATCGTTGGAAACATCTTTTTGAGCATAGCGTTGCGCTGTCAGTGCAGCGTGATAAAAGCTACGGTCCGTAGAATTACTTGTGTGTGCCTTCTCTAGTATAAATGCACACATACAAAACATCGATGTGTAATTATGGTGCCTCAAGTATGCGCAATAATTGTTTTTTAATTGACAATCACACAAGTATGAACGCTGGACCCTGAGCAATATTCGTGGGCGCTACGGTTGGCCGTTTGAAATAATGTTCGGGTGTAGCTCGTTACTGCTGACAAACAGACAAACGTATAGACAGACAGACCAAGTTTTTTTAGCGTCGAAGGTCCCCAAGAAAGACCATCGTCTTTAAAACAGCAATGTCTTTTGAAGTATTCATCTTACCCTGTATTCCCGAAGCTCCATTGACCTAACATGTTGCCCCGGTTGCGATGATGATGATGATGATGACGACGACGACGGCGACGACGATGATGATGATATGTAGACTTTAATGGCACAAGGGCCATGTCTTGGTCAAAGAGCGCCATGGAAAAGATGGAAGAGTGGCAATGATTTGTGATTTAACAATGACGTGTGAAGTATATCAACTAAGATGATGCTACAGGGCTGTATAGGGGCCTAAAATTGCTCGCCTTAAGACGGATAAAACAGATAATATATTAAAGCCATGCGAGTGAGGTAAAACATTTAACCAAAGACTAATTGCAAAACTTGTAGTATTGCCATTATTCTTTAGATCAGGAAAAACTTTGGGGCTGACATGGTATTTAGCACTTCCCCGGTTGTGCAGGCGTGTACTACTTATTAGACGAGAATTGCATGCTAATGCGAAGGCTTCACGACGGAGCCCTGCAACTTTAATTTACCCTGCCGGCGAAGTTTTTAGGGGCGAAGCTTCTTAGGGCGTGGGCCGTTCTTTCTTTGTAGTGATATATGGTGATGTGTTGTTCCAGTAGCCACTTCTAGATGCCTTTTTGTGTATAGGTCCTTGTAAAAAATATCACTAGATGGCATTAGTGTTTTCCGTATACTCTTCGTATACTGACTGACGCCACTTTAGATGATGATTATTATTAATATTAGTATTATCATTAAAAGCAGTGGCTTCGGCTTCAATGAAGCCGATGAGCTTTAAAGTAATTGGATGAAGTTTGCATGCATCTGGATATTTTTGCCGAATAATAAACAGCGAAAAAAAAAGCAAGAAAAGCACCATAGCCTGAAAAGAAGTATTAATCCCCGCAATCACAAGTGCGTGTTATATTCATCGCAATTTTTAGCCCATCTTGATACTCAATATTCGACTGGAAAACACGAATATTGAGTTGGCCCGTGGTGTTTCGCACTTAGGAACTGAAAGCTTTCAGAGCGCGCCTCCAGCCGCCTTATTGTACCCAGGAGGATGTGACCGAAAACTCATGTTGAAGAGTAGTGATGATCGCTCAACCATGGCCCATACCTACTCAGAAGGAATGCCAAAATTTGTTATATGAATGGCACATTGATGATGATAATGATGGCTCATATAAACGACTCGCATTCACTCTGGGAGATTAACCAAGTAATGAATAATTAGATAGAACGTATCACAATTTTTTATATATCATATGCATCAAAAATTGTATAGAAGAAATTTAACTAATTTCGGAAACTGAGGTCGAAACCACGCTGATTTTCTTAAGAATGTTTTTAACAACTTTTCTACAGCGAAACAGATACCACACTGACAATGGCCTAAGGGTTCTAGACATACCTTTTTTCTCGTTTGCTTCATCAACGTCCTAAACTATTAAATTTATGTTAATGTTATTTAACGGAACCATGAATGAAAATCGAGAGCAGCAAGGTGTGAACAACACAATGCCCTGATGTTATGCGATCTTTACATTCCCGTGAAGCAACAATATATTGCGAAAAAAAAAAGACACAGCACTGACGCTTACAATCCAGTAGTTCAACCCCACGTCTGATAAAAAAAAGACTAAAAACAATGACATCCCAAGAGAATTGACACTACACTGTTTTGGGAAAGCGAAGAAAATTGGCGCATATTTACGAGGGCACCAATTGATAATTCCGTTTTTTTTTTACATCCGCGTATTTGCTTACTGCACACTTTATGGATACATTGCCCCCCATCGGGGAAAACTACTGCTATCTCCATTTGGTTTGATATCTAGTTCCTCGCGTCAATGCTTCTCGCTGAGGTGTGATGCCACTTACCTGTTCTCTCTTAAGAGCAGCCTTAACCGCCGGCTTGTTGGCCAATCCCCCTTGGTGAGTAGGAGCCACAAGAAAGGATCGACCAAGCAAGCAAGCCTTCGTGGTAGGGCTGTCCCACTGGCGCAACGGTTGTTCGATGCAGCACCTGCACACATATCGCGTCGACAGCTCATTAATGAGAGTTACTGCTTCGGTGAGTGGGGCTGGCAGATATAAGCATTAATCTGCCAGCCCAGCATATATCGCGCGCGCTGATCACAGCGCATCACAGTGCGTTTAGAGATGGACGTGGCTGACATGTTTAAGACTGCCCAGAAATTCCTATTGCGTTGATCTTCGTACCGTTATATTGTGATCGTCATCAAATGCTTCTCATTTCCCAGGAAGACAACTGAGGCTAAAAAAAAAATACCACTGTATTGGTGCGATTTCTATGGGGGCAATTACGAAAGGTATCAAAACACTGCTTTGTTTTTGATTCCTTCAGTATTGCTATGCAACTCATATTTAGCTTGTAGTTCACATTGTTTCGTCCCGTCAAGCAGAGAGAAGAGACACCATTTCCACAGGCAATATTTAGCGCGTATTCTACGCGCATTAAACTGTTGCGAGTAACTGAAGTTCTCTGAAGAGAAACAGCGTTAACAATTACATATTTATTTTATCTGTGTTCATTCGTACATTGTAGTAGATGAACCCCCGTATTCTAGAACGCCCCTTCACTCAACGCTCCACCTTCTCTTGAGAAAGCCGATCGGAGCGCCATCTACAGGCAGGGCAAGTCACTGCATATCAGTGATAGTTTGCTGCTATTCTTCAGTAGCGCCGCGTCATTTTCAGTCGAGCAGCGGCGCAGTGCTCAGCTCTTTCAAGTGAAGGGTGAAAGTCGAGTCGAAGAGCGTTTGTGAATACGGGGGTTAGTGTGTTCGCCCTTAACGTAAAGTGCATGAACATTTATGACGCCATGGGTGCGTGAATTTACACATTGTTACTAACGGTAACTCTAATATAGACTATCTTCCCGTATGCCGAAGTTACGGCAACGTACAACAGAAACAACGACCATGACAATGACGACGACGGCAATGACACCAACAACAGCAACGGCACTACCAGCTCTTCAAATAGAATGTTACAAAGTACAAGCAATTTTGTGTGTTGTATCTCGTCGTTTTCAGTTAGTTGAGGTTTTCACGTCTTCGCCGCCATTCCATAAATTTCATCCAAAATGAAGTTTATGCTTAAGTCACCTTCTATTAGTGATTGTTTCCCGTTTTTGAGATAGCAATCACACAAAAATTTGACATTTTTGGGTGCGTTTTCAGCGGAGCCACAATGTGGCGACGTAACGAAAAATTCTCTCGTAACACCCAATAAAACAGCTCAGGAAGGGCTTATGTCATGAGCTTTCAGAAGGCAACTGGTTTGAATAGTATGCAGAGCTATGATGTGTGGTTCTCTTTCAAACTTAACTTTTTCCTGACACGAAACGAGCAGTGTAGCGTTATTGGAGTTTTAACTCAAAAGTCGATGTCGTGCTATCTTTTGCTTTTAGTGTCCCTTTAAAGCCCAGAAAACTGAATCTCAGAAGAAAATGAGCTATGGGGAAAATTATTTTATTAGATAGAAATATCTGTCGTGAACGGCCAGACAAGGGGCAAATAGGTTTTTAATCAGCACCTGTGAGTTTTTGGCTCATATCGGAGTCATTAGTCAACGCTAGGTGACCAAAAATTGTGTTGTAGAACCCAAGTTCTTTAAACAATATATCTATTGTGGTTTTGCCAGGACTGAATCCATTCATCGCAAAGAGCAGGTCATTGCAGAACTGCGGAACGCGTAATGAAGACTTCAGTGCATAGCTTGTGAACTTTATACAAGAGGCTGGAAATTGCAGTGTGCAGAAATCGCGTGAGGTACAAGTTACGACTGCCTCATCTTGATTGCTTGTTCCTCTGAACGACAAAGAGGGATGGATCGAATACCAGGTGGTTTATGCAACTGAACAATAAACGTCTGTTCGGGGTGAAATGCAAATAGGATTACTTTGTTTTCAACAGAGTATGGTAATGCACGACTCGCTGCGTGGAAAAACCGGCTTCAGTTTTTTCTTTGCGCAGGCTTGCATCAAGCAAGGGCACATGTTGTTGACCATGATACCGAAGCTGAGTTGCATATTTCACATCTTGTCCTAACCTGTTGAGGCAAATGTGTTTTTGATGTATACGTTTACTTCACATTTTGTTGTATGAACATTTTAAGAGTCGATTCAAACATGGGCACACAGCCACAGAAATTGCCTGAAATCCTGTCATTTTGCTGCATTTTACAATGAACTGCGTTTGATGTCATGTCCCTAAGTCTAATT